CACACTGTAGTCATTAAAAACATTTGTCTTATTAAGTAGATTATATCCCTTTCAACCTGGTTCAAACTGTTAATTTTTATCTAGTCAAGCATGTCTCAAAAGCATGAATCCTGATTACATATAGTTAGGAATAACAGCATGCAGAATGCTTTAAAAAATACTACCTTCGTGAATTTTCATGATCTACAGTCTCTTGTCTTCAATGCCTGGCAATCTGGCTTCTTCCATCAATAATTACTTACAATGCTTTGGAGAAAGTCAGAAGTGACCTTTCAAATGCAAAATTCACTGGACCTCTGTCCAGTGTTTACCTTCCTCCAACCTCTCTCTGGCATGAGGTACTACTAATCAAACTCATTTACCTCCCTGGTCTCCCACCCTGGGCTTCTAAAGACGCTAAAATCTTCCACTTCCTCTGACTTCCTATTATGTCTTGCCTCTTTTACCAGCTCCTCTCCCATGGCCCACCACTAAAATATTGGTGTCTGTGGCTTCAAGGACAATCTCTCTGATAAGCCCCAAAAGCACACCTCCAGCTCCGGCTGCCTTCTGAGCTTCAGGCCCATGTAGCCAAAGTACTTTCACGCAGGCAAGTCAATTACAAATGTCCAAAACTGACTTTCTCATCAAAGCCTGTTCCTTTTCCTTAATGCTTTCTCTCAAGAATAAAATCACCCAAGGTAAAATCAGCGAGTCATTCTAGATTTCTCCCCATTCTACATTCCTCATATCCAATTCGTTTCCACATCTGGTGGGTCCTCGTGGCTCACATTTAACACTGCCTTCCGGTGCCATTGCTGGGTGTTGGCAGGGCCCTGGACTGTTTCAAGCTATCTGTTAAACACATGTTAGTAATGGCAGAATACATGTTCAGTCTATTACTCCACACTAGCCCAGGACTGGGGTATATACCCTTTTCAGAGATTTTCTGTCCCCCATAAGGAAATAGAGGATAAGAGTAAAGAGACCAGATTTAAGGTCCTCCAGATTCGGTTTCAAATTCCAGCTCCCCACTTCTTATCCAGATAACCTTCAGTAAGTTATTTAAGATTGCTGACCCTCACTTTCCTCATCTATAAAAAATGAGACAATAATACCGTATACTTCAATTAAACTGCTGTAAATATTAAATGAGACAATGTTTGCAAAATGCTTAGCACCGTGCCTGACCTCATGACAATTATTACCCCTTACGAATATGGCAATATTCACGGATTTGTAGCTTTTCTTTAACATACTAGGAATATCTTCCAATGTCAATATGTACATTTATATTTCTGTGATATTTCACTACACAGACATGCTATAAAATATGTAACTGATCGTATCCTTTTGGGACTATTTCTAATTCTGGCCAGAATAAAGAATATGGCAGTGAACTTAAGCATAACTCTTTGCACATCGTGTTATTCCCTTCGAAGGGATTTTTGAATACAACGAGGAGCACGGTTTTCAGGCCTTGGCCACATGCTAATTGCTCTCCGGAGGGATCCTACCAATTTATGCACTCCCATCAGCAATGAAATTAGCTGGCATCTCCCATGTAACCTCCTATTTTTCACTGCTCCAAACTTTCCTTCATCTGACAGCACAGAGATTTTTAAATTTTAAAATGCATATATGGGGCGCCTGGATGGCTCAGTCGGTTAAGCGCCTGCCTTCGGCTCATGTCATGACCCGAGGTCCGGGGATCGAGTTCTGCATCAGGTGTCCTGCTCAGGAGGAGCCTGTTTCTCCCCCTGCCTGCTGCTCCCCCTGCTTCTGTGCTAGCTCGCGCGCTCTCTCTCTCTCTGACAAATAAATAAATAAAACCCTTAAAAATGCAGAAATAATCCTGTAGCTCCTAGGGTCAAGACTTTCTTCAGCCTAAAAGCCTGCCATCCCCCTAGAGACCCACTCTGGCCTTCCTTCTGTCCCTGCCCCTCCATGCACCTCAATGGCCCCTATGACCTCATTTTCCCACCAAACACCCTCAAACATCCCTACTTTCTTTTCTAACACAAATCTCACACTCAACACACCCTAATTGAAAACCGTGATCTTCCCCGTTGAAGAAGCAACTCTGTCCTTCCAATTTCTTGAGCCAAAAACCTTGGAGCCACTTTTTACTTCTTTCTCTTACAACTCGTATCATTTCGACTTGAAGGAATTCCAATGGCTCTAACTTCAAAAGACACAGAACCTGAACACGTTGCCTCCACTGCTAATATCCTGGTGTCTCACTTGGTTTAAGACATTAAGAATATCCCAGTCTCTCCTCTTTTATGGTCTCCCCATCTATGCTGGCTCTCCTAGAGTCTATTTTCAACCCAGTAGTCCAAGGGAGCATTTTAAAACATAGATTTTCAAGCCTTTGCTCAAATCTTGCAATGGTCCCACTTCGCTCAGGAGAAATTCAAATTCCTAAAAGATGCCCTAAAAACACTACATCCCTATGTAATTTATTGGTCCATGGTCCCTGTGATTTCATCTCATACTCCTGTCCCCCTTGCCAGCTCCACTCGGGTCACAGAGCACTCCTTGCTGGTCCTCAAATACCCCAAGCAAGTTTCTGCCAAAAGGCTTTTGACAGACTACTCCTTCTGTGCTTCCTGAGAAAAACATCTAGCACAGCTCTCTGTCCCTCCTTCATGTCTTCACACAAATGATACCTAGACCACCCAACTGAATATTGCAAGGGGCTCCTTCTCTCAATCCTCTTTGTCTGTGCTATCTTTATTATTTTAGAACAGTTACCACACACTAACATACTAGGTAATTTACTCATTAATTCTTAGTTACAGAATTTAAGCTGCACAAGAAGAGCAATATTCATCTATTTAGTTTAATAACATCTTTCAGGTGCCTAGAGCAGTGCCTGGCACATGATAGCCATACACTAAATAGTTGTTTAGCAAATGAATAAAATATCCCAAGAAGTCTTGTCCTCCATATTCTCATGCTACACATTCAAAGGATTTGGGGGGCAGTGGGAGTAAGGAAACACAAACTACCAAGACAGAATGGGATTGGGCAGCTAATCAACAAAGTAGATGGCCCATGTTCCATCCAATAACATCGTTGTTCTATAATCGCTTTCTGTGCATTGTTATTCTCCCTAATAAAATGACAGTACCTTGAACAAAATTCTGGCAAGTGACTAAAATTTTTCAACCAAAATGACAGGTCCAATGAACCACCATCACCGGTCATGATTACCTAGGGGATACCATTCTGTCAGGAGGCCTCCTCGGGCCAGTGAGACTTCTCTATTCAACTTGCTGCCTACATAATACCTACATGTTCTTCACATCTCAGTTCTACTTCCCAGGGAAGCCTCTCTCATGCCCACTTCCTGTTTTGTAGTCCAGGGTACCCCGGGCTACAGGATTTATTCCCTGAGTAATACTTAATACATGAGTAAATCCAGGTTTAAATTCCAGGCCTTAAAATGGCAATGTAGCTTCTGACTAGTACAGAAATAATTCTCAGACCAAGTCTCATCTAATTAACTCGAAGTACAAACTAATGAAATCCAAGTTAACACAAATTCTCTGTAAATAACAAAATCATGTCAACATCTCATCTCCAAAATACAACTTTTAAATTATTTTGTCTATGGTCTCATTATTTAAAAGTACAGCAGCATAAATGTTTCCTCAGATAGATAATGTACCTCAGAGAATCATGTTATAAAAGACAGGGCTATAAAGTCACCTAAGTTAATATGAATAAGCAGAGCTACAAAGCAAGATGACACATATTTATAATGGTTTTAGAGGAAATAAACTGTTCTAAGTTAAACAAAAGTGGTACACCAAAAATCCTTTCTAACCCATGACAATACCAAGCCCTTTCTCAAAAAAATATAACACAATTTACAATTCCCCTTTATTAAACTTTATGTTCTTAAAGATACTTAAAATGAACCAAAAATATTCATGCCAAAAATACATTATTTTGTAATGGTGAGAGCCATAATATAGAATATGTATATATATAAGATACATATCTATCCATATTTATAGAATATGTATTTATAGATAGTTATAGATATATAGATATATTTAAATTTATATTCTATTTATAGAATGTATATATTTTTAAGTTATAAATTATTATAGATATATATATATTTTACAATTACTAGTTTTCTAAGTAGGCCAAAGCCAAAAAACCCCAAAAAACAAAAAACAAAAACCACACGCTGATAATTGCACTTCCACATTATTCCACAAGATGTCAGCATGTAACCGAATAACCTCAATGGTGGTGTAGCTAGAGGGGGTTGTCTCCACCATAAACAGAACAATAGAAACCCTTTCATTTCAGGATCTTAAGTTAGAGCTTTGATAAATGTGTTCCATATATGTGTTTTCACACATATTTTATTATTTTAAACCTATTCCTTATATTCTTACAGCAGGTTGTAAATGGTGGATTTAGGTATTTCTTTTTAAAACATCTTAATTTTCTTCATTCCAACATAAATCTCACCAAATTCTTCACATGATCCGATAAGGAACCATTTCCATACTTACTGAAACCCACAAAAGATGCTAGGCATAACCAACCACTGACCTATATGCTGATCTGAGTTTGTTATTTTTCCCCATTTTACAGATGAGAAAATGGAAGAAAAAAGATCAGTGGTTCACACAGGGACTCTTTACTGCGTAGAGATTACAGATTCGGTGGGTAGCTGGAGTCTCCACAGAGTCCTTTGTGTGTGTGTGTCGGGGGGGGGGTGTTGAGACACTCTGGTCTTGTTATTTTCCTTTGTTCCCCATTAACAGCTCTTATGCTGAGTCACCAACACCTGAGCAACTGTTACTACTGATTGATTGTTCATAGGAGCACAGTTACCCTTATTGAGGCCTTTAACTTAGCATTAGCAAAGGGCCCAGTAGGTGTGTAGAAAGTCCTCCTACTACAGAAACATACGAAACTCTTTCTCGTGCACGTGATCGTAAAAACAATACTGAAATCTGCATAAATACATATCTTCAAGTTTTTCTTACATCGCTTGTATTCTTATCTTGCTTTTCGTATTTCTCTCGGTCATAAGCCATTTTCTTCAGCAATTTCTTCATGGCTTTTTTGTCTTTTCTATGATTTTCACTGTTTTGCTTCCTCACTTGGTTGACAATAAACTTGGGAATCTACGGAGAAATAAAATTAAGTTTGGGAGAAAAGAGAAGTGGTTCCATTATGAACTACGGAAATAATTATCTTTATGTTTTAAATGTGGAGAGAAGTCAAGGTTTTGTCCAGATCATAAGACTAGGCTATTTTACATGCACTATTCATAAAATATGCAAAAAAAATGCATCGTATTATTCATTCACTATGAGTACAGAGCATATACATGAAGTAATTTACCTCCCATTGTGTAAGTGAGGTTTAAAAAGAGGCTTGGTAAAGTTCAAGGACGTAGTGGCCACCTTCTATTCCTTATATGCCAAGATTAGAGACTGCCTGAGGTGACTGGCGTTAGGGACCACCACCTTGGCGGCTGGTCCCTTTAGCAGCCACCTGGCAACAACCCAGCTTTTAGCTAGCCTGCAGTCCCCTCTACAAACCAGCTAGCCTCACCTCAAAAGAGAAAGAAAAACTCACCAATAAAAGCCAACGGGGTTCTAGCAATAATCTAGGAAAAATTGATCCTCAGAAATTACGTTAGCAAAAATAAAATATTTTAGGAGTTAGCAAGTTGAAACAATGAAATAATACTGTTATTTTAAAAACTGAGATTTAATAAGTGGACATTATTTTATTTTAATTCCAATGTCACTAACTTACAGTGTTATATTCATTTCCGGTACATGGACATCCTTTTTTTTTTTTTTTTTTTTAATGACACTTGAAATCACCTCTATTGGCTTGCTTTTTTAGAAAATCTAAACCTAAAATGACTTTAGAAACTAGATATCATCACTCATTAACAGAACTTAAAAATATATACTTACTGTCCACAGAACTTGTTGACACTTAATCAATAAGTGCATGATATTAGCTGTCCCAGCTGCCATGAAAAATTCTCGCTGTTCGTTGGACTTCAAACCCAGTGTGTGACACATGAAGAGATTCGGGGCCATGACCATGGCTACATTCATGGTTGTCATCTTATTTTTCTCTCTATTGTCTATTACTCTTTGGAGAAATTCAAGCAGGGCCTGAAACAGAAATGACTCTTCTAGATTTGTGTTTTCATGAAGATAAGAGATTGAAACACTGTAGTGTATGGGATTTTTTACTTAGTTAAAAACAAGTAAGTTGTGCATAATAACCACAGTCGGCTAGCTACGTTCAATGGGCCTCAGCATCAAAGCTTCTATTAGCACCCTGAGGTGGTGTTTTGTTCTGTGAAGGGCTATGACACAGGGGAATGAGGCAGACAGGACACCCATCTGAACTAGGCAGTGGGGAGAGGAATGGAGAAGCATCAAACATAGGGCCTACGGGAGCCACGGAGCACTGAAAAGCATATCAAATATCCTACAAATATTCACTTGCTTCAGGAAGTGCTTCACTTTTATCTTTAGGGGTTAAAAAAATCCCCTTAGAAAGGCTCATTTAACCTCAGTTTCATTTGCTTTAAGGTACTCAATAGCTAGCTGACAAGAAATCTAAAAAGAATGGAGACTGTCATGTGGAGGGATAAGGGGGTGAACAGAGACCAAGGAAGAGTTTTTTAAAAACTGAATGTGTAAATAAAAAGGAACTTTTCACCAGAACAGGCTGCTTTATGCTCATTGTGATACCATTTGATACCACCCACCTCCCACCTCCCACCCAACACTCCTGGGTCCTCTGAGCCTGCCCTCCGTAATAGCCACAGGCAACTTAGATCACCATCCTCCTGACAGGACTTAGGGCTTTAAGTTCTTCTTTTGCCTTCTTCCTTGAATTAACTTTGGTCTAGACCAGTAACAACAAAAATACAAGTATTCAATGTTCCCTATAGGTGAGGCATGGTTTTAAGCATATCATAGACATCATCTCACTTAATCCTTACTGGAGAGAGAAGCTGTAATTATCTCCCTTTTACAGATGAGGAAACAAGGTGTAAGTGAATTTAAGTAATGTACCAGAGATCATAGGGCTGGCAAATGGTGGAGAAGGTCTCTCTGGCTTTTGCTTCTGAACTCTTAACTACAAAAAGAATCGGGGCTCCTGGGTGGCTCAGTGGGTTAAGCCTCTGTCTTCAGCTCAGGCCATGATCTCAGGGTCCTGGGATCAAGTTCTGCATCAGGGTCTCTGCTGATGAGGGAGTCTGCTTCCCCTCTCTCTCTGCTTGCCTCTCTGCCTACTTGTGATCTCTGTCAAATAAATAAAATCTTAAAAAAAAAAAAACTACAAAAAGAATCATGTTTTCATATTTAGCTTAAAATCCCAATCAGAAAGAGGTCAAATAAATGATACTGAAGTGGAAAGAGAAAGGAACAAAAAGAAGCTGTTCATCTCTCCCAAGATTTTGGGGGTGGGGGGTGGAAATTCCTATGTTAACAGGTGGATCTTTAAATCAAGTTTACCTGCTATATAGACTTCAAAAATTTGAAACAAACTAAAGGCACAACCTCAATATCTAACCATAAGATTTATGTATCTAATATCTGGTACAGCTCTCAGAAAGTTACACTGTAATCCAAGCATAAGGTTATATAGTAACAATACCTTCTCAAATGAGGACAAAAGATTAATTGGTGAGGTTTGGGGAAAAAAATTTAATTTTGTTCCAGAGACCAGAATAATTATTCAGGGAGCAGTGTATCTCTTTACAAAGCATAAATTATAGAGATTAGGTAATAAACCACCTTAATTGTGGTGCACATATACAGTAAGATTATTTAAACCATTACCATCAGAATATTCGAATGTGTGTATTTCTGTGTATGTAGATTATGAAATTTAAAAAATGTTAACCTTGCCCTTAATGACAGCACTTCATCTTCAGATATATTTTCTCTTTACCTGAAATAGAAGAACTGACCTTTTTCAAAAAATATCTGGGTACGTGGGTAGCTCAGTCAGTTAAGCGTCCGACTCCTGACTTCAGCTCAAGGTTATGAGATTGAGTCCCACATTGGGCTCCACAAGGGGGCATGGAGCCTAGTTTATGATTCTCTCTCTCCCTCTTAAAAAAAAAAAGTATCACTAGTCTGCTATTACATAAGTCTCACTGGACCTATTCCCTGAAACCAGTTTGATTCCCAACACAGTCATTTATTAGCTAGGTGAGATCTTAGGGTAAATTTCTGACATCTCTGTCCTTTAAATTCTTCCTACTCATAAAACAGGAATACTAATCTTCCAGCCTGCCAGGACTGAGCAAGACAATGTGTACAGCTATCTTCCTAAAAATATAAATAAATAAATAAATACCAATAATTATATTAACACAGATCTCCTGCTGATACTGGTCTTCGTTGTTCCTCCAAGTAAAAAGTATCCCGATATACAATAATCCAAGGTCAAAATGATCCCCCCCCAAGCAGTTTGTCTAGACATCTGTCTCTTTAGGCTTAAAGTAGGACATGGTGCCTCCTAACCCTTCAGTGTGCCGTAGTTACAGTCTACAAAATTTATACACCTGATCCCGTTCCTCCAAACAGCAAATGCGAGAGTGGCACTAGGCTGGTAAAAAACTGGAGAAGTTTGCATTAAGCTTCCTGAAATTATCTTGTGACAGAGTTTTCCTTCACTTTGAACTAAATGTAAGTGGTTTATTTTCTTGTACGTATGGCATTCTTCTTTCAATGTTTCTATTATTAGAGTTCTTGTTTGAAACATCCATCAAGGCTAGCTAATTAAGCTCTAAAATAAAGCTTAATTATTAAATTTACTTTTTTTGCATTTTCCAATATTTTATTCTAAAAGAGTATTTCCCTCTTGATATATATAATTATATATATATATATATATATATATATATATATATATATAAATTATAGTCCTAGCAACCTTATATGAAAAAATTAAAGCTATTCTAAAATTTTTAAAAGTATCTCTTTCAACAGAATTTTCAAAAGAGTGTGCCGGGGACTCCGAAGGTAAATTCCAAAACTGAGTTGTAGACCAGCCTTGCCCCATTAGAAACCATATTGGAATAGGTGTTTCCTCTCACAAATATTTGAACTCATTTGAATGCAGACACGTTTTAAGTAAATCATGTGTCTTTCAATGCCTGCCTTATACTGGTCATTCATAGAGCCATCACAGACAGGTACCTCTATGTGAATAAGAAAAAGATGGATTAAATTTCTCTTTCAGGGCTCTGTGTCAGGGCATAGTTGACAAGAAGACTGGAAATCAGTCCCCACGCTGTCCTATTTCAGCCACAATCTACCCTTACACAGCCAACTCTGGTCACACAATGTTCAAATGTAACCCTTTCTGGTGCTGGCCTCTCTCTTCAAAACACCTCCACCTAATGCACAGCCTTCTCAGCATGTAACAATCCGTGAAGCAAAAGACCTTTTTTTCCCCCTGGCTTAGTAAAGGGAATAACTCTTTGGAAGTTCTCCTGTAGAAATGCAGGGATTTTACTCCAGTAATCCTCATAAACTCTTTCATCCAGAAAAGTTCAGTATTAACATTCAATTCCTTGGGCACGAAAGAACTATCACCTAGTTTCAGTTCAAGGAGTCTTAATGAGGTATAGGAAAAACTTCCAAGATTTATCAACTGGCTTTGTTTTCTCGACATGAAATTTCTTGGCATGATTTCTCATTTTAAATAGAAAGAAATATAGAGGGTAGAGGGGCAAGGGTTCTGCCATTGGCTATATAAAAACAATTTTTTGAGGCAATGACAAAACTTAAGGTAACTATTCTTTCTAAATTATATTTTAGAAGTTTCCTTTTTCTTTTGTAAGTTTATAACTAAACCTTTACAACTACTCGGTAAACTTTTGCTGTTAAGAAAATAAATCAATATGGAACAATCCACTGATTATTATAAAAGCCTCCAACAATGCTTATAATAAATGGTATTAAATCATATAGACCAAATCACTTTGAAATGCTGATGTAAATCAAAAACTCAGGGTAAGCCATTAGAGAAAGTACTAGAATTTGTTTGAGTCAGTCTATCTTTTGGCTAACCAAACATTTCAAAAATCATCATTATGACTTATTTCAAACTCTACTGCTTAGCACTACAAATGTAACATCTTTAGGGAACAGTAGGTTTTATTTGATGAGCCTTACAACTTTCTTTTTAAACATCCATTTCTAACTACATGTTCATTAAATTAAATTTGGAAGACACAGAAAAATAAAAAGAAGAAACCAAAAGCACCCAAATTTCCATCCAAAAAAAAAAAAAAATGAACCTCACTCATTGGTTTCGGTAGAGGGGTTACAGCAAAAATTAAACAACTGATAATACTATTAACATGACTAGTCTAGTACATACACTAGTGAAGAGTTAAAAACTTCCACCATTTATCTTTAAAAGTTGGTCTTTCCTTTAGAGACTTAACTAGGAACATTTCCATGAAAACTTCACCCTGTTTTACCACAAATAATGAGAAATTACTCCTCTGAGTTCTGAGGGATATTTAACGTAAATGAATCTGCTGACCTTAAGTGTGTCTCTGTTTGCATCAGGCAGGAGGATGACAAGAAGGTTCAAAGCCTGTAGTTGTTGCTTCCTGGTTGGAAGATCTGCAGACAGATTAAATAAATCGGAACTCTTTTCTTTACCAAACATTTTTTATTTTACTTCCTTTTTTCATTTTGTAAGAAAAAAGTTATTTGGCATAAACATCCCTGTGAAATTTAAGACACAACAACTGAGCAGCGAGCATTCTTGAGAGTGTGTTTAAGAGAGATCAGGAGAAGCAGCTGCTGCGTTAGAGCTTCCTCTCAGAATGCTCACTTCCAACTGTGATCATATGACGAGAGGCCTTATGTTTGCAGACACACAACAGTGCTTTGGAAATAATTTTAACTTCTGCGTGATAATTATTCCCCAATGAAGAGACACAGAAAGTTAGCCCTTCCACGGTATGGTGTGAGGGTGCCTCTGTAACAGTGAAGGTTGTTTCTTCACTGGTGAGTGGATAAATCACATGCTAAGAGTCCACTGATTCCAACAGGAAGAAGTAAAATGGAGCCTGGAATACAGTAAGTGGTAGATAAATGTCTATGGAATGAATCAGAAAACCAACCAGTGGTGACTGAGTCAAAGAGGTACACGATGATCATTGATAGTTATCACTTTTAGTAGCCCTCGACCCATGGAAGTAATACTCATGGATATTTGGAATCGTTCTGGTACTTTGTTCCTAAGGAGTGGATTTGTCCTTGAATCCATATCCAAAGAATGTATGCAAAAGAGCATAACTTAACCATTATAAATATTTTAAACACAAGATGATTTTAGTCATGTCTCCCCTAGAAATTCTTAAGAAATGTTATGATATGAGAAGACACATGAGAATCATCTTAATATTACATGCTTTAAGATAAACAATGGAGTATTACTCAGAATATGCTGGAAATAATGGAATATTACTAAGTCATAAAAATAGAAATCTTGCCATTTGCAACAACACGAATGGATCTTGAGCATTATACTAAGTAAAAGAAGACAAAGAAAAATATATGATTTCACTTACATGTGGGATTGTAGAAAAACAACAACAACAAAAATCAGCTTATAGATACAGGAAAATTAATGGAAGCTACGGTTGGGAGGGGTGTGGGCAAAATAGGTGAAGGGCGTCAAAAGGTACAAATTTCCAGTTATAAAATAGTGAAGTCATGGGGACATAAGGTACAGCATGGCGACTACAGTTGACAATACATTGCATATTTGAAAGTTGCTAAGAGAGTAGATCTTAAAAATTCTCATCACAAGAGAAAAAAATTCTGTAACTATATGTTGTGATGGATGTTAACCAGACTTACGGTGATGATCACTTCGAATACATAAAAATATTGAACCATTATGTTGTACAAAATGTTGTAGGTCAATTATATCTCAATAAAAAAAATTTGGAATGACCCAGAAGAGTTCTGGTGGACACTGTAGCTCACCGTAATCATCAATAGTGGCACCTTTTCCCTCTCAAGTTGTCCCAGTTGGGAAGTTAAAGATATGGTCATTAGAATGTAGCGATGGCATTTTTCCTTTTTTGATGGCCTCTGGGACTAAAAGGAAAAATTACACCAGTATGCAAACCTTATAAGATCTCTGTGTTCACTGGAAAAGAATCAAGAACTATTCGATACATTAAATTGGAGCTTGCGCAATACCACAAAATGGCAAGGTAGAAGAAGTCTGTAACCTTCCTCCAACGAGGCAGCCAAATAATTTGTTCCACGTTTCTGCATGACAATTTCAGAACTTCATTTTTCAGGAAATAATCACAGACTCTGCTCATCTCCTTGTGCGTTTATGATAACTGTTAATCCACAGCTTCTCCAGTAAGTGTTGCTTTTAACACTTGGCAAGAAAAATGTATCAGATCTTACGTGACTCATTCTATTATACAAGAAATGCGAAGTTCCAGGTTTTAACATGAAAATATAGTGCAGGGCTCAATGGGCATGCAATTAATCTGTCCCTGAGGAGAACATACTGTCATCTGTTTACTCAGAGATGTATATTTGTAAAGGAAAAGGACAACAATGTATGGCATTTGAGCTGCCGTTGACAGAGAGTCAATATGTCTCTCCGAATATATCCAGTTATACTTTCTGTGAGGCAAAGTGTCATTAAAACAATTAACAGGGATGGCACCAGCACATGGGCTGCCTCAAAGAGAGACGGCACTTACTCTGGACGGCCTGAAAGGCTTTGAGATATTCTACACTGAGCAGCGGCTGGGGCAGCTCCCGGATGAAGAGCTTCAGCAGGCTGGCGGCATCATGCTGTTTGACACTTTCCCAATTAAAAGTCCCTTCATAAAACTTTGCTTCCAGTTCTTGGCAAAGATTCTGAAAGGCAGAAGAAAAAAAAAAAAAGGCAAGAAATAAAAGCTACCAGTAAGTGCATTTTTTTTCCCTGCTGAGAGTGTGATACACTTCCCACTTTCCAAGAGATTCTACTCTTTAGAAAAGAATCCGAAAGTACTAAAGGCCAATAATTCTCTGTCACTCAGAAAAATACTACTTGGCCAAGTACACTTTTTCTGTGACAAACGACAGCCAAGGCCACAAAATTCAAAACCTGCATACATTTTCCGGCATCTGCAACAGACCTTAAGCGGTCAAGGTTTAATCAGGAAAAGATTAGTTAAAATCGTCATTCTGTGTGGGGGCTTTACTTCAGATGCTGTAAGTTTTCCTTTGATTTTAAAATTCATCTTTTAGGGGCGCCTGGGTGGCTCAGTGGGTTAAAGCCTCTGCCTTCGGCTCAGGTCATGATCCCAGGGTCCTGGGATCGAGCCCCGCATTGGGCTTTCTGCTCGGCGGGGAGCCTGCTTCCCCCTCTCCCTTTCTGCCTGCCTCTCTGCCTATTTGTGATCTCTGTCTATCAAATAAATAAATAAAATCTTTTAAAAAATAAAAATCATCTTTTAAAAAGTCTGTTTTAAATTATTTAGAAGTATATTACATAACAAAATACATAATCAATCTCTGGGCCTAAAGTAGGGGGCTACCTCTTGATTAGTCACCTCTGGGAAATGGAAAACCAAATTCTAAAGCAAATGAGGCCTGAAAATACATCAGTACCCCTGTCTGGGGTGCCTGAGCCATAAGTGGCACAGCCATCCGGCCACCAGCTGCAGAGAACAGTGTGAGTCCACGCAGAATCAGAAATACCTAGTTTGTCTACCTCAAGGACTCTACAAGATCTGCCAAATTATTAGTAATCAATTTAGTTTCACAATTACTATTTTCCAGGGACCTTTTCACTGTGGCTTAACCCTATTAGGTGAGAAATCCTTTCAAGTTTCTGTCACTTCCTTATGTTGAACTCTTCTCCCAAAGAATGTTCTTTGTTTTTCTTGTGAGATGAATTTATTACACTTTCTCTTCCCTACACAACTCCATCCCTCTCCTCCAGTTATTTCTGTAATTGGTGAAATACATAAAGGGGGGTAGGGGAAAGAGAGGTGAAGGGAGAGAGGAATGAAAGAAAGGAGAGAGGGGAGGAAGGGAAGAGGAGGAGGAATGGGAAGAGGGAGAAAGAGGAGACAGGAGAGGGAGAGGGAACAAGGGAGGGGGGGAAGGAAGGGTGGGGGAGAGGGGAAAAAAAGGAAAGGGAGAGAGGGGGAAGGAGAGAAAAGAGTACAAAAAATTTGGTGGGGCAGAGGAGAAAGACAACCAAAAATTTTGCATATTATCTTTAAATTATGTATAATGGACCAGCTGCTGCATAATTTGGGATGTGACAACAGGCCAGGTTGAAGAGTTGAGCCAACAGAATCCACTTAATTGACCTTCTTAGAAATTACATTTAGTTGAACTCAAGCTTCTGCCAGCTATCCAGTCAAAAGTGTAAAATATGCTTTTTTTTTTTTTAAGATTTTATTTATTTATTTGACAGACAGAGATCACAAGTAGGCAGAGAGGCAGGCAGAGAGAGAGGGAAGCAGGCTCCTGGCCAAGCAGAGAGAGCCCGATGTAGGGCCCGATCCCAGGACCCTGAGATCATAACCTGAGCTGAAGGCAGAGGCTTTAACCCACTAAGCCACCCAGGAGCCCCTAAAATATGCTTTCTGTTCACCACTGTGTATTCACGTAAACGTGTTTATGACTCTTAGGCATTGGCCCTTACAGTCTGCTAATCAGTGCTGTGACCAGTGGACTCAGAAGGGGTACTCTTGCCCATGTGGGTACTACGAAGTTACGTGACCAGCTTCTGAGGGATTCGTTCTCGAATGTGCCTCTCAACAGGACTTACCTCAGAATCCCACACAATGCCTATGTTTGACTGTTGGTAAAATCGCCCTAAATGTTAACAAGTGGAGTGAGACAATGGCAGCTTATCAAATTCACACAGGCCCCAAAAGGTTTTCAGGGACCTCTGTGAACTGGACACTGAACCCAGGGGACACAAGGTGAATGAACTCTGTGAGGAGTTGCTCCATGCAGTGAGAGCCTAGCAGGCGGGAACTAGCACTCCACAATGAGGAAACTCATCAAAATAAGCAGGTGCTGTAAACCGTGCAAGGTCTCAATAGGAATTCCAATCCTGGCAGCCCCAGGGCCACAGTCACAAGCCCGGAGTGTGTGCACCCACCAACAGTCTGTTCTCTCTGATCCAGCTCTAAAAATGTCATACAGAATAGGTCTTAAGGAAATGAACAGAAAAAAATCTCTTTGCCCTGTCCTATTTTCCAGTGGATTTGCAAATTCAAGAAGACAATAGGTTGGACGAGGGCAATCATTTGCGACACCTCAGTTGAGTTTAGAGGGTCAGAAGCTGAATTTAGAGGCTCCAGAGGCTGTAAATGACAGCAAACCAAAGCCTTCTCCTAGATACGTTCTCCAGATAGAACTACAGTTCCACGCGTGAGGCCCCTGTAAAATGCAAATCCCCCGGGACGCTTATGTATTATGCATCCTCTGTAGGGTAATTCTACCTTTGCCGTGCATTTACTGGATGCTTTATTCCCCAGAGCAGGAGCTGGGCGCCAGGGAGAAAGGAGGAAGATACCAGCATCCCAAGACAGTGGTAACAAAATGCCAGCTTGCCAGAAAAGGCGGCAGCGGGAGAGAGAACGGGAAGTCTGGGCATCGCCTTGCCTCTTTCACAAGCCAGACTCGGGCTACCCTGCAGTGGGTGTGACAGGAACTGTGAAAGTCAGGAAAGGAATTGAGGCAAAGTCTCATTTCCTCAGTTCCCATAGACTGGTGTATGGAGACGACAGTCACATCCTCTTCTTCTGCTCACCTGGTGGAGTTTCTCATCCACATTTTTTAAAAATTCAATTGCTATTAATCACACTGACTAAATCTATCACCAGTCCCCTATCAATATTTTGACTCATCGTGTTCTCTTTTCACCAGAAGGATGGAACTACTCTTGGCTTTTGCTTGTTGACTTTTGTTCCTGTTTTACCTCTGCACAGCAGAGAGATTAAAATCATTTGCTTCTCCATCATAATAGTATTAAAGCTAATACGGTGATTTTGAAGAAAAATGAAAACTTACAACCATCAGCAAAGACTCCAAAAAAACTAAATATAAACTGAAGGTTCAGAGGTTTTATCTTTATATTGTATCTACTTGACTAACAGTGGGGGAAAAGGGGGTGGGGAAGAGAAGTTAGCTTTTAAAATGCAAAAGCGTAACTGAACAATAAAGAGTGACATGAGTAGAACCAAGAGATTACCTTGATTCTACCAGCGGCTCCAGGTATTCTCAAGAGGCCTTCGGTTTCCAAACCTCCCTCTTCAATTCGGGAAATCAGCTGTGTATAAACAGAAGAACATTCTGACTTGGGGATTCCTAACAGGTACAATTCCAAATTGAACATCTGCTTCACACAGAGATAAATGATTACAATGATGGGTAAGCGGGCTTTCATGAAGTTTTGAATGCTACTGCACTAGCACTATCCTTTCAACCAGAAAGTCTCAAAACTTTACTTCTAATTGAGAAGAAGTGGGGTCTTATTCTCCTTTGTTACAGAAGTGTAATCATTTCACACAACAGCTGCTGTACTCCAGCAGACTGAAGTTGTTTAAGCAGTGAAGTTGCAACTAAGACCATCCGTGTCTTCTGCTTTTCCAGAAACAGACATTCTGCAATCAAATAAATCTTATGAAATTCCATTATTTGCACATTTACATCTCATTTTTTAGTTTGTTTGAAAGACTTGTTTATGGTACGAAGGAGAAAAAAAAAACTGTTTGTAAATATTCATTTTTAAGCTTTGCAGCTTTTAGTGGTAAACCAAGACAAAAAATAGTTTTTGTTGAGGGCTTCTAAATCATTTCTGATACCCAATGAATATACACAGATCTATCTCTAGAACTCCACTAAAATAACAAAGATTTTTTTTTTAATAATGCAGAAACCCACAAAAATAGGCAAATGAAGAAATTACAATGACATACTGTCGGAAGCTAGGAAGATGATTAAAAAAAAAAAGTGGTTAGTTTCTTGGCAGAGTGATCTTCCAATTGAAATATGTATTCCCTGGGAAATGCACACAGGCTTTATAGGGGGTACTCTGCTATTTTAAGGAAATCAATTTCTTTGTCCTCAGGCTAAATATAAGGCAATTACTAGCATCACATAGGTTTTCCTTCCTACTACCCAACCCCTTTCACCATAGCCTTCTACTTTATAAAAGACAGACCTACTCTTCACTCATCCCCAAACTTACTATAATCTCTCTGCACACCCTAAGACATAAAATCTTCCAGACTGCCAAAGGATATAAAATTTTATTTATTTTTTTCAGGGAAACCTCCTTTAATGATTTACCAAGGCTCTATAAACTACATAAAGCTGTTTCTTCCATGCTTATAAAAGTGTCTATTAGGAGCAAAGCAAGGTATCATAAAATGAGGTCTTTTGACCTTTGTCTAGATGTTCTGAAATCAGATATATTGTAGCGTGTAGACACTGGAAGAGAGGCAATTTTTCTCTAATGACCTCATCTCTCCTATCCCCGGATTAAGGCCAAAGAATGCACAGATCTTCAGGGAGTCAGGTAAGAATAAAGCGAAGAGTAGTCTCAAAATTCTCCTGAGGATTTATTATTAGATAAAGTAAGAACCATCTCTGACCAGTCAAAGCAGTGCGTGATTTTTAAAAATTCAACTGGAATGTTTTCCAAGACTCCATTTTTCAAGGTACACTAGATAATGAACCCACAGCTAAAAACCTTACAAAAGTTATTTTAGATTAGATGGGCATTACTCAATAAAGGATTTAAAACTAACCTTAACAAAAAATACCATGCAAAATTTATTCAACGTTAGCAATTTTCATTTTTATTTCATCTTATAAAATGTTTAAAACGTTCTATTAGCAAAAAATAAAATTCTTTGCTGGCTGCTAGAGCAAATTAGTTTTTCACAATAGTACATGCCTTTCATTTTCATCAAATACACAGGATAAATGGAGATTTCTAAACAACTGAATGAGAGTAAGATCTGAGTCTTTATATTGAAGTTCTTTTTATTCCTCTCGAATGTGGAATACTAGCATCCAATAGAGAAATGTACATATAATGCCTGAAAGAATGTCATGTGGTTTTTCATATTTCTAACTTTAAAAATAATATTTTTGGCTACCACATTATATTTCATTATTAAAATATAAGAAATACTTTATAGCTCTTTTATTTTCAAGACTTAAAAATGGAAAATAACTATATTGTTCTATATATTTTAATCATGCTCCTTTTTAGTAATTTATCTTACAAGAGACATTGCATAATGTATCAGTAATGTTCACAGCATCTCCTAAGAGGGATTATATGCTTATATGAATTTATGAACTGAAAATGAAGTCAGAAGTTTTTGACACAAAGTATCTTTGATTTGGCTGATTAGTCTGACAGTGAGAATAGAATTTGCTAATTTGTCAGAAATTTTCTATAGATAGAAATTAAAAGTACTTTATTTTCCTGACGTTTTCTAAGAATATGGTTTAAACAATGTGCCTCTGAGCAAAAACAAAACAAACAAGAAAACAACAGATACAATTCACACAACTGAGATAAGCTTTGTTAAAGCCCTTTTTTGGGTATAATTCTTAATAAATGAGAAAGTATAATCCTCTAAAAACTGGTGATAAACCTTTTTGCAAACGAGCGATTTCCAGTTCTTTGTTTTGTACAAAACTAAGAAATACCTAACTGAGGTGACAGTTGCTCATCGAAAAAGTATTTTTCAATGCTAGATCATTATTATTTTTTGCTTATAATTCAGAGGGGATGCATATAGATGAGTGTTATCTGATAGTAAACTCTTTATACCCTCTTTTATTTTTGTGTGAACAAGAGTCTTTAAGGCTGTTACCAAACAACTTCAAACTAGTTGGAAGCCCAAGTCTTCTGAATATTGAAGAGACCAGAAAGGTAAAATAACTACATAAATAAAACAATTTCAAAAGAAAATGACACAGGACTGCATGCAGCCCTCAGCCTGACCAGGAGACATCTCTGAATTTTTGTGATAGTGAATTTGATAAAGTCAAGCATGACACATCATTGGTTTTTGGTCAAACGCCAGTCTAGATGTTGCTGTGAAGGTATTTTTTTTTTAGATGTAATTAACATTTAAATCAGTACATTTTGAGTAAAGCAAATTACTCTACATGACGTGGGCAGGTTTCATCCAGTGGGTTGGCGGCCTCAGCAGCAAAGACTGAGGTTTCCCAAAAAAAGTGGCAATTCTGCTTCAAGACTGCAACACAGAAAACCCACAGGAGTTTCCAACCTACAGATTTTGGACTCAATACTGCAATATCAACTCTTGCCCAAGTTTCCAGCCTCTGGACTGCTCTATTTCAGACTTGCCAGCCCCCACATCACATAAGCCAATTCTTTAGAATGAATCTCTTTCTATGAACATGTGTGAGCGTGTATGCGTGCGCGCGCACGCACGCACACACACACACACACACACACACACACACACTCCCCTTACTGTTTCTTTGGAGAATCCTTACCCACTTGGAAAAGATGCTGGTGAGATCCTTGCCTTGCACAGTCATCTGTGGTGGTATACATTTTACTTAATTTACTTAAGTAAATTACATTTACATTTTACTTAATTTACTTAAATTAATATGAATATCTGACACACATTTGTCAGCACTTCCCAGCTCATCACAGGCACGGCTGACAACTATCCATACAGACACAAGTTCTATAGGCAGTGGCCGGCAGAAGCTGGTGAGAAGAACAAACTCAGCAGAATGAAGTTCATCAGGAGAATCAATGAGATACATGTTTGGAAGCGATGGTGATCATGAGACATAACAGGACCCAAGGTTAATAGGTAAGACAGCTGAGCGTTGGTTTGGAATAGTGGAAGAATCAGTCCCAAAGAGCTTGAGCTTTGTATTGAATGAGTTTGTTGAGCCGGTTGATGGGAAAGTTCCCACTGCCACTCTTACTATCCCCAGAGCTTCCAGACAATGTGATGTGCTGGGGCTGCTACAAAAAAATCTATAGCTCGGGTAGTTCATAACTGATCTGCCTACCTTCCTCACTGCGCATTCCTGGCTTTCGTCATGTGTAATCTGTGTTTCTGAACAAGGATGGCTCAGAGATTAGACTGAAATTTTTATATTGCCGTAGATAATCCCCTTATGAATAGCTGAGTGTTGATGGCACCAGTGACTTGACAGTTTAGCAATCACTTTCTTATTCTACTTTATGGTTTCTTTGCCTACTTTGGAAGTAGGCATTGGTAAATTAAATTGGACATCCTCACTGTAAATAGGAAAGCTTGGGAAACACACGCAGGCATGAAATATTCATGAGGATTCAATTCCCTAGAAATTTATGAACAGTTCCCGCTCCCGTGTATTATAGAACTGAAATCTCAATTATACAAAGCTAGCTAATATAAGACAGGAAAATGATGCCAGGTAATCACAGTTATAGTAATAACACAGAAAACACCACCATAAAATAAAAATTATGAGCCCTTGAAACAAATTTGTTTCCTGAATAGAAAATCAAAGTACAAAATAAAAGAGCACATCAATTGGAAAACTATATTATAATATTATGAATGCCAAAAAAGAAAAAACTTCTATTAGTTCAAATATGTTCTCTCTGTGCTGACCGATTTAGGCCTACTTACTTTTTGAAATATCAAGGGTATTCGAGTTCCTGGTACTTTCCTCTGATCTTGTTCTAACAACACTGTCAACGGAATACAAAAAAGGCCGGAATCTGCAACAAAACATAAAACTTCTTAACTTCCATCCTTCTATAAAATATTAATGCAAAAATATTAAGGCATCGGATTTCTGATACTGTCATTCAAACAAATAACTATTTATTAAGCACCTACTAAGTGAATGACACTGTCTAGCCACTAGGTGCATACATCGCCATAGGAAAATCTTGACCCTGTCTTATATAGCAATCTAGCAAGGAAAGACAGCTAAGTAAATGATTGCAACGAATCACCAAAATAATTAGAGAAGTTATACTGTCATGTAAGAGAAATAATACCATGGGAGTATGTGAAATATACAAATAACTTACTAAAGGTAACAAATTAAAAGTTTTGGCTAAAGCAAATATTACTTACTCATCTCTTTTATACGTAACTGACATTTAACATTCTACAATACAGCAAAACAGATATGTTTGCTCTTCGAGAAATCAGTCAACCTCATGATCTTGTTTTACAAGAGTTTGTCTTTAGAAACTACAGACAACTTGGTAGTTCTTAAATTATGATTTGTAGTTTCATATATTTGGGAATAACTCCAGAAGAACTGAAAGGTAATAACTTAAAATTTTTCTAAATTAAAATCATATGCCTTCAGTCTGGTGTGAGCATAGCTTCTGCTTAGTACCTCCTACCCCACCCCCATCACTGAATGAACAATTAGCACAGAAGTGTAATACACGTCATCAGGGGAAACGTAAATCATTTGTGAATAGGAAACGGGGCTTTATATTGTGGAATGAGGACCTTGAAAACTGACACTCAATAGAGATGCCATTCAAGAGAATACCAGTAACCTAATAATTTGTAGCTTAAGAATTGTCCAAAAAAATGTAATCTTCAAAAATGTCAAGAGTCTAGTTTATGAGATGAATATATTAGAGGAGCTATAAAAATATTTAAGAAATTGGAAGAAAATCTATTCTGTTAATAGTTATACTCTAAATGAGAATGGCTTAATACTTCTCTCTCTGCTAGGAAGCAATTCTAAAACACAAAAAGCCTCTCTAAGCCATTTTAAAAGTCCTAAGCACTGAGTCACAGCTATTTAAATTATATTTCTATTTTATATTTAGAAAAGGCTTTGTGACAAGCTTCTGAAAAAACATCTAAAGTCTTTCATTATCCATAATGGTCTTGCGGAAAATCAGAAGCACCATTTAACTCAGAAATTCACCATCCCATGCCTTAAGCTATAATACTCAAGAGGAACTGAGCAGAGAATGAGGTCTTCTGGGGCCCAGCATGGGAGAGAGGACCTTGAGGGAAGGTATACGACAGTCCTACAGAGATTTTGCCTCTATACCTTAAATCAGGTGAATATGTGTCTTTATTAATGTTACCATAGCAACTCAGTAATCCTCATTCTTGGTATCTCTTTAGGAGAGAACTTAAAAGTTAAATAAGAGGCCAGAGATTCCTAAAGAGTTAAACTTTGTTAAATTAATAGATAATTATCTGGATTTCTAGACCAATAAAATCTTGGATAAAAAATAAGAGGTGTCTGTTTTCTGTAAGATTATAAAAAATAAAGTCTGTTTATGTAATGGGTATAGCAAGTTGCTTACAAAAGAAAAACTACATATATCCACGAGGAGTACAATTTGGTGGTATTATGTGCCACAATGGCATTATTTTCTTAATAGACTGAAGAAGGTTTTTGAAAAATAGTTATAAGTAGAATGTAAATGAGCAAAGGGACAGGCTACTAACTACTCTATGTAGTTCCCATCAAATAAATAAGCAAAAGCAATGAACTAGGATCAACTATCTTAAAGTCATTTTTCAAGATCTGATTTTGGAAATAAAGAAGTTTATGTACCAAAAGTATCTTTTACATGTAGTTTTCAAAGGAGAGTGAATTTGAGTTAAGATTCCTCAATACAAAAAAAAAAAAAAAAAGAATCTTTAATTCAGAATTTCCTTCCAAGGTAATTAAATATTTTATTATCTCTTTATTTTTTATAGTCTAAGAGAACAGTGCATGTTTATCAAGTTACAAAATTTTTGAAGGCAATGTTTTAAATTCTGAATTTTAGAAGTATTCAAGTGTTGGTTTATTTTGTAGGTATTCCCCCCAGCCAAGAATACTGATCAGAAGCCAAGTTCATCTTTGCTTCTTTTGAAGTAAATCCAATGGTTTTTCATTTCAAAATTACCTTTTGTTTTGATTTTCACAGCTCTTTGTTGCTTCAATTCAATACCCAAAACATCATAGAGGGCAGTCAGCTCAATGAGGGCTAAACGGCCAACTTTCTTCATGTCCTGGGGTGCTAGGTCACCAATCCTGGTGATGCCTGTTTTGTCTTTTGGGCATCTGAAATTCTAAAATAAGTACCATTAATAGAGTAAGGGTTTCTAGGGTCTAACCCCATTTTTAGTGAAAGAAAACAAAACCGTTACTATGGAAAGAAGCTGTATTCAGAGTAGTGACTATGAAAGCCATGGCAAAATCACTCCAGTCCGAATGAGGAGCCATCTTGTCATGATGATGATCCTTAAGGCTGAGGGGAGTCAGTACATGAAGTCCAACAGACAAAGGGACCAGCTATGGACCAGGCATACTAATCCCAGTGGCTGAGAGCACAACAGAGACAGTAAAACTGAAGGAGAAAAAGAACTCTAGTTACTGACCTTTGACAATAAAGGAAGATTAGGAGTCAAGAGAAACCATGAGGAGGAAGAGGAAGAGGAATAGTAGCCATGAGTGAGTACTTAGAATGTGCAAGGTACACTTTACCTATGCTACTGTCACAAATATGTATAATATGACATGAAATACTGAATATTTATAACATCATATATATTATAACGTTATCATAAAACCCCAGAAGGTCTGTATAGCATTGGGGTGGCAGGGAGAATGGAAGGAATAGTAACAGCATGGACTTTAAAGCCAGAATGCCTACCAGTCATCTCGCTACCAACCAGCTACTAACAATCTGGTGACTGATTAACTACTCTTTCTACAAAATGGCAGAAGGGGAGGGGTGAGGAAGAAGGAGCCGGGCATAACCAGAGGGGAGAAGAATGAGGACAGAACAGATGGTGGGGAGCAGGGAGAAGGTGGGGAAGAAGGCCACCTAATTCAGAGGGCTGTTGTGGGGTTTAATGCCTGGCACTTCCCCAGTACCTTTATAGGGTTGCTATTATTTTTCCTTTCACTGCTAAATAAAGAGATTTAGAGATACTACTACCACAGGCAAGTAAAGTGGTATTTTGTTGTTTTCTGCCAATATTTGCCAATATTTCTGCCAATTTATTTTTTTCACCAATATTATCTACTACCTATTCAGCCACTTTTAATATTAAATACATTTAATATAAAGAAACAAACCACAAAGTAAAAACATGAATTTCGCTAAGACACTAAATACAAATTAGAGTCCCATTGTATTTACTGGTTACTAAAATTGTGATCATTCTCTAATGGTTTGATTAAAAAAGGGTTTAAAGGCTATATCTTTTGCGTTTACCCTTGACTTCCTCATTTAATGGTCAAGAATGTTTAACTGGTTCCCTTTTACTCCCTTTACTTTGCTCATTTTTTCACCATATGATTAACACTTCCTGGTCTAAAATCTAGTACAAAAGATATGTCTTCAAGCAGCCTTTCTCAAAGTCAGATCCAGGGAACCAAGAAGTTACATAATACCCTTTCAAGGAGCCTATGAGGTCAAAACTATTAATAATTAATCCTAAGACATTATTTGCCTTTTTCACTCCCATTCTCTCATGATTGCACACTGGAGTTTTCCAAAGGTATAAGATAGGTGCTTTTCCAACAGATTGAATACAGACATAGATGTGAGAATCCAACTGACTTCTACTAAAGTGAGATGCTAGGAATGTTGAAATGTAAAAACCATGGCACATTAATAATTTGTTTTAGAAAATAGGGCTATTTTTCATTAAAAAATGTTATTTATGCTAACTGTAATACCGTACTTGAAGTGGATTAATAATTTTTTAATTTCTCAATTTCAATTTCCAATATGGTAAATACCCATAGGTACAACTGATGTAAACAAAACCTCTACTCCCACTATCTCCGTTGTTTACTTATCACGAGAAATAATTCCTTAGTCTACATATTCATGTTCCATAGTTCAAGAACACAGGCCAGTGACAAACTTCCATGGAACTCAATCCAAAGAAATTCTTCACATTCCAAAATCACAGAAAGCAGTCTTCCTCATCTCCTCAAAATCATTCATGATATCCTAATTTCTATAGAACTATGAGTATGCTTTCTTTCTTGGTTCAGCTACAAAACACTTCCACAGAGCTGGAAGACCAGGGAGACAACAGAGGCCCCAACAGCAGGAAATCAGATTCTTGGCCAGAACGCTGCGTATCCAGGGTTTTGTCAAAGTGCTGGAAGCCGTGGTAGTTACTGCCCTCAATACCAACATCCTTCCTGACTGGTGAAACAAAAGCTTTGTGAAGTCCTCCATGCTTTTTAAGAAGCTAACAGGGTTTTGAGACCAAATTGTTTAAGTATCATTGTTTTAGAGCATTTCCTAAAGCCTACAACTTTTGGTAACTGAGCAGCTAAATCCTTTCCAGCAAACTCCACTCAAAGACAGAACCTCTTTACATAGTTCTTTACAGAAACTTCTTCTATAGAATCTGCTATAGCTTCAAAAAGAGTTCACTATAGGAGAAAATAGGTCTTTCTTAACTTTTTGCAATACGTTTTTTTTCCTGATGAGAATATGAAATAAAACAGCAATAAACATTAAACATCCAGTCTAAGTGAATTTCCGGTGTGTTAATGGGGCAGCGCATGGGGTTGAGAACATGGAGCCAGAGCGCAGGTGGCCCATCCTGTCTCCATCACTTATGAGCTATGTGGCCTTTGGCAAATTACATCACCCCTGTGCCGCCTCAGCCACTTTACCTGTAAAATGGGAATAACAACAGAACCCATTCAGAAAGGGTTAAGTGTTACTACTACCTTTCTTTCACAGAGCTTTTCAATAATTTCAAGACCTCATGCCTTTCCTCTTCTCCTAAATATTACTGTAAGGTAAGGAAAAAACAGCAAGGCTAATAATACTCTTATTTGATAAATGGTCTTTTGTCATATCCTGCAAAAGTCCCCACAGATGAGAATTATTATAGCACATTCTCAGTGGGGAATTGAGACTTACTAATAGACTAAATATGGCCACACAGCCAGTGACAAAATAAGGATGCAAATTCAGATATTCTAGATGCTAAATTCAGTAATAACCATTCAGCTCTGCTCCATTTTCTCTATCCACCACAGCACGCAGGGAGGAATCTGGATTGGTCAGTAGTGACAGAGGAACAGGAGCCCCTCAAAGAGAAGAGCCAGGTCTTAATCATTTCCGTAGCCCTACTGGACCACAGGCCTGGTGCACTGCAGGTGTTCTGTCCCAGGCTACTCAGTGAGCAAAGACACACACCCTACAGGGAGAAAAGCACAGAATCAAGCTCAGTGAGGTATGGAGCCACTGGCTGGATGGTTCCCCACTGAGCCTTGCATTCAAAATCACACAAGACTTTTCACATTTTCTTCAGGTCTGGCCCCCGAGTTCTGCCCATCGCATTGTTTTCTAAATGGCTGAACCAATCTTATTTACCAACTTTTTTTTTTTTTAAGTTCTAAATGCTTCATTAAAATCAGTTGCTATTGATCTCATAAGACAAACATATGTAATATAATTCTTTAAAGCATTAGCCAAGGTAAATGTTTAGAGAAACGTAAAATATTATTAGTTCAAACATTTGATTTCCCTAGCCATCTATGTCATGAGCTTTATTTATTTATTTATTTAACATTGTGCTTTAATGAAAGGAGTTAGTTCTTTATCCCAATGTTTAATTCATAGCAGCAGCTTTTAAATATTTATGAAGTTTCCTGTCATTTTTGTTTAGTTAATAGACTGGATGTTTCAGTTCATTGGCTAAGAGAAGGCAATGCAATTTCAGCAAAAGAAAGGTTCTTTGCCTTTTGAAAAATGTGCTTCAAGAACGAAGTGAAATAAAATTTTTCAGAAATTATAAGGTCATCAGTTCCCATGTGTTACCATAAATTAATCAGGTAGCTCTCTCAGACTGCACCCCTCTTTTGCGGATCTCACAATACAAAGGGCCCCTTAGGTACTTCATCAGTAGTGATGGACCCTGATGGACTTGACTTTAATATGTTAAATCACTTCTAGCCTCAACTTGGAAGCAAAAGAATCTATTCTCACCCGATCAATTTCCACAGATGACTTTTTTTTTTCTGATCTGCTAGAAAATGCATTTCTTACCTAAGATTTTTCTACGTGTAAGACGTGATTTTTTTACAGTATTTCATTCATTGTTATTTCCGGAGGATGAATACTTTTCTAGACAAATGAACTTTTGAATTTACCTTTTTATATTTCTTGCATTTTTTTTTTTAAATGGAGAGCAAAGAGCCATAGTTTAATCTTTTCTTGACAACTCAGGACCATAGCCTAAACATCTATTTTGGTATTGTGTACAACTGTGTGTTTGCTATCGATTTTCAGTGTCTTCATTCAATCCTGAAACAACACCTCTTCCACTGTCCTTCAGCTTCCTCCAGAGGTGTTCTGTTCTCTAGCAAACTGCCAACATGGGTCCGCATGCCTAGTTTTTGGCCTTTAGTATCCATGAAACGGTGTTACCAGAAAACCAAAGCCATTATAGAACAAGAATTTATTTGAATTAAACATAATTCAGTAAGAATCCAAAAGATACTAAATGAAGACTTAAGAATTAAATATAGGTGTGCATCTAGGATATAGACTTAACCAGTTATTTTAAAACTATGATCTTAAAAATTTCTGCATTAAACCCTTAATGTTCAGTCTCCAAAGCAGGATGAAAGGGTATTATTAAATTTCTCTTGTATATGATGGACCCAACAATGCAGAATCTTATTTATATAATATCTCAAGCTATCCTGAGCAAGTTGTCAGCAGCACCAATACAGAGTCACTAATCTCACACCTAAATTAAATGCATTTATACCTTCAGGGCACATTAAGTGGAGTCAACATGGTCTTCCAGAAAAAACTCAGATCCAAAAGCTGAGTCACCTGAGTCATCTAAGCCAAGCCTTAGCATCCCATATAGAGTCTAACCTATTTCCCTGTATGAGAAATAGGAATTGAAATATCTACCTCATAGGGATCATTTGATAAATAAATACAGAGCATATTTTCTGAGATACAGTGGGTACAAAAACACAGTAAGTAGTGGCTACGTTTTCAAACTGAAGCCCATTAAAGGTTATGAAACCTGAGCTCCACATTTAAGAGAAATTTGAATCTGCAGTGAGAGATCGTAAAGAATTAACAAAGACTACCCGATGCTGTAAGAAAAAAGGAAATGAATGAAAAAATGAAGTCAACAGAGAACAATGTATTTCATAAAGCTTACTGCTTATTTACAGAAGCAGGGGAGCATAGAGTAGAAATGGAATTTAAGGTTTATCCGCTTAGACACCTGCCTCAGAGCGATGAATATAAATATTCATTCCATCAACCATGCTGAGGACTTGTGAAAAGCTTACACGCCCATGCCTTCCAGAAGACATATGGATAAATGGTTGTATAGATGAACAGATGCATATATGCAGAAATAAACACAAGAATACATGGACAATAATTATCGAAAGCATGGCATCCTAACAGCTTAAAATATTATAATATATATTGTATCTGATGTAAATTCACAGCCAGGGAAAACCTAATAATAAACTTAGATACTGAACGAGACCCCAAAAGATGGGGTAAGATTCCTTGGTAAACAGAGAACAACAGAGAGGTAAAAATGGTAAGGTCATTTCAAGCTTGGGGTACAACATGAATAAGGTCTAGAAGAGAGGTCAGCATAAATGTTAAGCAGAGAATGAAATAAGAGAGTAAGTCTTAAGTCTCTGAAATAGATATGAACTTATACTTCATTCCACTTTTGAATTAACAACTTAAAAGTCAATAAAGTCTTCATTTTTTTTTTTTTTTTTTAATTAGACTCTCCTGTCCTTTCCTTACAACCCCTTCCATCTGTTGAGATACAGACTGTCACTATTCTGAGAGTCTGGGACTGTAGGTCATCTCTTCAAGTCAAATGGTATGTATTCCTTTACTTTTCCCATTAGGTATATTAATAGATTCCTAATAATATATGGTAAAACTTGGAAACAACCTAGATGTCTACCATTAGGGAAATGGTTTAATAAATTTTGATGCATCTTCACAATGGAGTATGACGTATCTATAAAAAAGAATGAGAAATATTTCTATATATTACTATGGAGTGATCTCCAGAATATACTAAGTCAAAAAATAAAATTCTAGGTTGAGAAAAGTATGTATAGTGGGCTACCATTTATCTAAGAATGGAAGGATAAACCATAAGATTCAAATGGAAAGGAGTTTACCTAGAAGGTAAATTTACCTGTGAGGGGAGGGAGAGAACAGAGTGAGTGCTCAAAGACAGAAGCCAGACTTTTAATACATCTTGGTTTTAAATCTGACTTCTGAACCACAAAAATATTTTACATGTTTACAAACAAAATTGAATTTCAAAAAAGTAATACCTAAAAATTGAAAATAAAATGAAACCATTAAGCCAACCCAGTATTCAGTTGGTAGCTTAACCATATGGAGAAGAACTATCCTATGCAAGCTCAAGCACAGTAATTTTATTCTTACAGTCCTTTTGGGATATATCTCAAGGACACAAACAACTGATGAAAAGAAAAACAAGTTTAAGCTGTTTTTCTAGTAAGGATACTGTTGATAGCAGGGGTAGTATTGTTATTCGGAGAATACTGGGCATTAACTGAGGATATAACACACAAGTAATTATATGTGTTCTAAGTATATCACCTGGGGTATCCGGAGAATGACTATTCTCAGCACGGAAGAAAGAACATACAGATGTACTTCTTGCCTCGGGAAAGGCTTTCAGCAATGACCAACCCATGGAAAAGGAACAGTCCTAGATTCCTGATCATAGTTACAAAAGTATGCTTTTACTAAATGGAACCACGGTCTCTTGGAGAGACAGATGATTCTAGATCTAGAGCAGAAATTGTAGCAGATACACATGGGAAATTGTGTCTAGGGTCACATCAAATAGGGCTACATCTATGAGCTAAATTCTATTTTGCAAGAAAATTAAAATACAACAATACTAACTGTTCACTAGTGAAAGACGCTAAGGAACCAAAACAATTAACACTGAAAAATAAACACAGTTTTGAGAAACTTTTTCTTAAAAGACGTATTCAAGTTAATAAATGAATAAAAGAAGAAATGAAAACATCATCTTGTCAACATTAATAAATGAATGGATCAAGCATTAATTAGCAGTGGCTGCTAATTTCACAAAAAGAGAAAGATGATCAGATATTCTGTGTCTCTTGATACATGATCACATATGAAGTAATCCTGATTAAAAAGAAAGAAAGAAAACACACTGAACCTGATAAATCTATAGTCAAACAATGTAAAAGAAACAGAAGAACATGAGGAATTATAGGGGAAGATTCTCTACAACTCAATAATCAGGTTTCTTCAACAAATAAATTTTGAGGGACAAAGAGGGAGAGTAACAGATGGAGAGAGAGAGGGAAGGAAGGAGAGATTGAAAGTCTCAAAAGACATATCAACCAACTGCAATGCATAAACCTTATTTGGATCTGGATTCAAACAAATCTGAAAAAAAAAATGAAATTTGTGATACAATTTGAAATTTAAACACTGAATGGATACTGAAAGTTAAGATTTGTTAGCATTTTTTAGGTACGGTAAGGGGAATCTGGGCATATTTTTAAAAACCCCTCTTTCAGAACTACATACTGAAGTATTTATAGATGACAATACATAATTCAGAGATGTGTTTCAAAATAACACAGAATGGAGCACTGTTTGGGGGTACGGAGAGGTGAGGACTAGCCATGGATTAATGAATGTTGGGGCAAGTGGGAAAGTCCTGGAAAGTTCATTACACAATTTTGTTTTGTTTTGTTTTTACAGGGTGTGAATTTCTACAAAATAAATAAATACATGGAATTTTTTAAAAGACTTTATTTATTTGACAGAGATACAAGGAGAGAAGGAATACAAGCAGGGAGAGTGGACTCCCACTAAGCAGGGAGCCCAATGTGGGGCTCCATCCCAGAACCCTGGGATCATGACCTGAGTCGAAGGCAGAAGCCCAACAACTGAGCCACCCCAAGCGCCCCTAAACACATGTATTTTTTAAAAATGTAAGACATGTTTTGTAGTAACAAGAACACTCAGTACACGGAGCTTGGTTTCTAAATACTATCTGCTACTAAAAGAAACCAGGGCTCCTTGAAGAAATGGATTCCCTCAAGTCAGAGAGAAGAAAAGTGCAAAGCGAGCCTGGGAACATCTTATACAAGAAAGCAAAGAAGTAAAAGAATGAAGGCATGTTAAAATGATACAGGAACCAGCCTGAAGGGCTCCCACGGCTTAAATTTAGACAAATTTTAAAGAAAAACAATAATGATTTATAAAACACTGAAAAAGGTAGCCCTCCATCCACAGTGATATTCAAAAACAAAAAGAGAAAAGGAAGGGCAATCAACGATTACAGAAGATTGCCAACCACTCAAAACAGAAGGAATAAGAAAATTAGTCACCATTTCTCAAACATGAGTTTAATTACTATTTCAGGCAAGGATCACAAATGTACAGTGACACTAGTGAGCAGTGGGTTGTTACTGACGATTAGAATATCCGCCCAGTCCTATGGATCACAAATCAGTATTAACTGCACAAAGGGAAAGTTATCTTTGTAACAGGGATATCTGGTGAACATCTCCCTAACCGAGAGGTCAAATTTCCATCACCAATAAAGGGACCGTGTGACTGCATGACCCTCTTCTGATGATGCAGTCAGCCATCAACCTTATCTATGCAGTAGTTTGGCCAAAAATGTGTAGCTTGAATCCAGTCATGAGGAACAAAGTCAGAAATTTGATCTCCACCCTTCAAAATATTAAAGAAAAAGCAGGGGATGTGATCTAAATTCAAGGAAACCAGAAACATACGAACTCAAATGCAACATCAGACCCCAATTTGAATTCCAGATGGGGTTGGAGAAGATGGAAGCTATACACGACAATATTGTGGCAATTGGGAACATTTTAATAGACCATATGTAAAATATAATTATTGTTTTGGTGTTCAATTTCTTAAGTATTATAGCAATGTTTGTATGTCTTTGCTAAGCTTAAAAAAAAAAAAAAAATAGAAAAAGTTGGGAGGGCGTGCCTGGCTGGCTCAGTGGGTAGACCATGGGACTCTAGCAGGTCATGAGTTCAAACCCCACACTGGGCATAAGGCTTACTTTAAAAAAAAAAAGTGAGTGGTGCCTGGGTGACTCAGTTGGTTGAACACCCAACTTTTGGTTTCAGCTGTCATGATTTCAGGACTGGGAAATGGAGCCCCAACCGCAGCTCTGAGCTCAGCAGGGAATCTGCTTGAGTTTCTCTCTCCTCCCTCTCCCTCTGCCTTCCCTCCCACACTCTAATAAATCAATCAGTCTTTAAAAAAAAAGTGAGTACGTAGCTGATAACACAACATATAAACAGATAGATGCAGAAGGAGAAAAGCAAAAGGTTGTAAAATATTCATTGTTAAATGGGTCTACATGACCCCTGCAGGGGTGTCTGCTGTACTCTTCTTCCAGCTTCTCTGTGGATCTGAAATTTCCAAAATAAAAAGCTGATGAGTGAAATCTGAATAGTGTACTACGTACAGATAACGGAGCATCACAGTCTTTGCTCTTCTGGGCCTTCTCCTTGGAGCTCTCTTTCTGATTGACGGCTTGCTCTGCAAACGATACATCCAGGTTGATATTGGTTTCAGAGGCAGGTGCCTCTTCAGGAACCAGGGGAATCAGCTCTTTTTCACCCACAACTAGGCTAGATGCCTGGTCTGGGAAAACAAAAAACAAAAAACAAAAACAAAAACAAAAAGGTTCAATTAATATATTTTCTTTATTTCTTTTACTTCTTTACTTCTTTAAATCAACTACATAAAAACCTTTGGGGAAAATATTATTTACTATGGTCAATAATTAATGGTTATTTTAAAGGCAAACATTTACTCCAAAAATCCTACCAATGGTGGATGGAGGGTATAGAAGGGAAGGTGGAGACGAGAAGCCATAGTTCAATTGTGGAATCTGTCTGTGAGGTCAAAGTGCTTAGACTGGATCGAAGTCCAACATCGGTAGATGATCTCAAACTCTGAATGAGAAGCCTCACAAAAATTTAGTAGACTTAATTGTTGTTTTATTTTACAATGGGAGATTAAAATCAAAAGCAAAAAAAAAAAAAGGTGGGGGGAGGGGAGTTCAAAGAAGTTATTTTTACTCTCTCTTAGAACTAGTGATACACCATTTCATTTTCTGGAACACATTACTGGAATAGACTTCTTCCACACCTGGTGTTTCTTTTCTGGAATGTAATTTACCTATCAGAGGAAGAATTCCAAAATAAGAGTTAGTGCCAAACACTTGCCACAGAGGGAGTCGGGTCTGGAAGTACCTGGTACAGGAACCAATAGGTTTTGTACCCAATTATATCAAAGACTATTGAGGTTCTCACAACTATAAACCTAGTCAAATAAATTCTGGATATTTACACCAACATTTCAAGGGTATATAATAAGTTCAACATTTTTTGTCTGTTGTTAATCTTCTAGGAAAGAATTAACACTGGAAATCCTTGTTGCCCAAAACATTAGCTTTAGAGCTTTGGACAAAATAGTTCTAATGGACACAATTTGTTAATAAGTTTTTGGTTTAAACATAACTCACATTAGAAAAACCTTGGAACAAATGACAGGATTACTGGTTTTTGGTTTTTTTTCTCATTGCAGACTTTTAATTCATGGTGAGCAGCTCTGAATTACAAAATAAACTTATATAGTGCATTTACACACTTCTACACTAACACAGCAAGGTGCTAGAAGGTAAAGTTAATTTAAAAATTCAATAAAGGCATGCCATTATGTGTGTGTGTGTGTGTGTGTGTGTGTGTGTGTGTGTAATTAACCCTGCTTCCTTCAGAAAAATCTGTTTATAGTCATTTAAATTTTGAAAATATGTTTCTGTTTCACCCAATAGAAAATTAGGAATAAACATTACTCTAGTCTCATTAATTCTGTTTGATAAGCAGGGCAGGCTTCTGGGCATGTGACTTGTGCAGTCTCAGGCCTCAACCCTCCTGGGTTTAACACTCTGCTGTTGCCACCTTGGAATCTGAGCAAGAAGTCCCACATTTTCAGTTTGCACTGGGCCCTGCAGACTACTTCAGTGGCCTGGTAGCATCTCCCAGTTAAGAGTAAGTAAACACAAACCAATGCCAATTCCAAAAATAAGAATAAATGTGATGCTCCTTGATGGTAGTTACTGACTGCTGCCATCTTTGGCACATTTGTATATTATTTATGTTGCTATTCCAGTAAGCTGTGACATTTCTTTTAATTAGAATAACTAAACTGTTTTACAATTAATTTTTAAAGTATTAACTTAAATGTCAAAGCAAAATTTTAGTTTTCCTTCTCTACCAGCTTCCACTGCTGTATGTTTTACTGTGAATATGTTGAATATGTATGTTGGTTTCCTAGGAAACCAGTCTGAGAGGGGAAAAAAATGATTAGCCATTTTCTTAAATTAGAAGCTACCTTTCCAGAAGTAGTGTGTTTATGGACAAGAATTTTAAAACTACTCTTTTTTCTCCCTCAATACTGCATATCACCACTGCTCCACATAGAAAATATCCTGTGTTGGTTGCTGGAGGGGAGGGGTAGAGGGGTGGGTAACTGGGTGATGGACACTGGGGATGGTTTGTGCTGTAATGAGGACTGGATATCATAGAAGACTGATGAATCACAGACCTGTAACCCTGTTAAAAAAAAAAAAAAAGAAATGCCCTGTGCTAATTTCAAAGCTGAGTAGAGAAATTATAATTAAGGTAAAATATATTTACAATATATGAATTTCCTCCCAACTGTGGCAAAAATTTAAAACAAAAATCAAAAAACCTAGAGTATAAAAGCCTGAGTTCAAATGGTAGATCAAGTAAAGGTAGACAGTAGGAAAAATAGTTTCGTTTGTAGGCACTGCTGCAAGAAACAGATGGTGAATTGACTAATAAAAATATTTATGAATCAATGATCTACTCTCATAGAGAAAAGTTAACAGAGAATTCTGACATAAACCTTTCGACTCTTAAAGTCCTAAAGTGTAAATAGTATAATTTCTTTATTCTCCTTTGGTTTTGAAGTGAACAATAGCCCTGGGTTATAAATATTTTGCACAACTCCTTAGAGTTTTTCAACTGTTCAAAATATTCCAAAGTGCCTTTATTTTTATTTTATTTTTTTAGTGCCTTTATTTTTAAAAAGAATTACCCCTCTTTCACTGAAATCAAGCGAAAATAAGTAAATATACATACTAAGATGAAAATTTGAAAAATTATTTGGGCATTATTAATGTTTCTAAGTGTATGTATAAAAACGGTGGGCCATTTGCATAGAGTTTTATAATTTAATGAAAAGAATAGTACATAGCCAATTAATTAATTTGAAATGGGACAACCCTTTCCACATTAAGACTTCTGTGACTTTTTCATTTAGAATCAATCTCTTTCATTGAACATACATAAAAACCCAAGTGTAGGAAAACATTTAAAATGGACAAAGTCACCCACACCTTCCGATTTCAAACACAAAGAGCTCCACTTTTGAACTCCAGACAACGTGTTTCCATGCCCTTCGTTCTGAACCTTTCACTGTGTACATGGCCCTGGCTATTTTGCTGACCATGGAAAGACTATGGCCTACAACAGGTGAAGTGGTAAAACCTCAGTGACTCAGATCTCTTATGATTCTGATCTATGCCTGCCTCATAGCACTCTGGCTAAAGCAGATGTAAATCAAGCAAGTTTGTCATGTTCTCCTCAGTGGCTACAAGCGACACTTCAAAGTACTCCTATAATGAACCTGTCTTCCAGAATTTTGGGGTATAGAGCCTACATCCCCACCTTGCCCAAAAGAGGGAAACATCAAAAAAGGACAATGCTTTCCCCAGTATTCATTTACCAATTGCCAGGCACCCTTCCCCAAAGCATACTGCCATTGGCACACAAAGGTTGTGCGTCTCTCTCGATAACCTAGCTTCCAGCAGGCCAGCACTGACCCTTCTAGCCGGCTTGCCACTTCAGGGTTTGCTGGCTCACAGACTTGGGGAAACACCCAGCAATTTCATTCTGATAGAAATGTAATATATACGTATATATATTATATCTATAATATGTATTATAGATATATATTTGCATGTGTATATATATAATACATACAACTAAAGAAACCTCCACATAATAGCAAGTGCTTTTAAAGACAGAAACCCATAGCCATGTCTGTGTCCATACACATAAACGCACACAATTATTTACTTATTTCTAAAGGCAAGGGTACAGGAGAGAAGTTCTGAGAAAAGCATGGTAGGAAAAATAGAGATACTGATGTTACAAGACTCCAAGACATCCCATGTAATCTTGGACTAACCCGATTGTGAGGAGAAGGCAGGAAACACTTCCCAGTCCTCCCCTACTACCTGCCTGACACTCCTCCCCTACTACCTCTAATCCCAATACAACACTATGAATGGCGTGGGCACTCCAGGTGGCAGGTCTGAAGATCATAAACAAAACAAAAGGACAAGTTCCCGAGCCAGCATCTGGCAATCACAGACCGCCTCTGTTAACAGTTTTTAAATAACACAGTACAGATTAAATTTTTAAGCTTCATTTGGAATAGTTTTTTCTTTTTGCAAATAAGGGAGAAAGCTACAAATTCTTTCTTGATTAAGTGCTAATGAAGTCTTAATACTTGTTTTCACCCATGCCATGAATTTCTAATTCGTTTCAGAAATAACAGGTATAGAAGAGAAAAAGTATGATAAGACTGATAAGGAATTGCTCCCAAAATTATTTTTTAAGTTTTTATAAACTTTCTAAAAAGGAATCCACTTATGAATTAAGAACTTATCGATTTCAGAATGAAACTCCAAATTCTTTGGCTCCACTCTGTAGCTGTATGGCCTTGGGAAGGGCACTTAATATCTCTAAACCACCATATCCTCATCTGTAAAATGGGTTCAGAACAGTATCTTCTATGTGGAGTTCTTGAGTAAATTATATTAGGTAAAATAAACAGCTTCACAAAGTACCTGGCACATGGTAAACAGCTGGGAAAACTAATTATGCATAGAGATGTTTATACAGAGATGCACAAACATTTAAAAAAAATCAAAGGCCCACTATACTTCCAGCCTTATGTAATTATCTACTTGGGAACTCTATTAGCATTTTAATAAAATTTGCTTCCTAGAATCGAAGGTGAATGTTTTAAAAGGTTGTATCTGCTTGTTATGCTAATAAACAGGAAAATATAAGAGAACAGGTCCAACATACCATCTTTTCCTTGATATTTATTTTCATTTGTTCTGACTGACTGTGAGTTGATGCCATCTGGAACCTAAAGATAGAAAGTGGGCCAGTGAGTCATCTCCAACTCACAACCAGAGAAATGGTATTGTACATAATTCCATTACCAACCTTCAGAGTACAAGAAACACACTCAGTATTGTAACCACCACAGGAAAAAAAAAAAAAAAAAGTACTGTATTTATAATCAACAAGCAATCATCCAACAAATATTAGGTTGCCCCCAATTTGTAAAGACACAATACTAATCCCTGTAAGGAACATGAAAAACACTAAGAGTCTTTGCCATGGGTGTGTCTGAGTGGCTCAGTGGGTTAACTGGCTGACTCTTGATTTCAGCTCACGTCATATCTCAGAGTCCTGGGGTCGAGCCCAACCTCAGGCTGTCAGGCTCTGTGCTCATTGGGGATTCTCACTCTCCCTCCACCCCTCTCCCCACACTCTAATAAATAAGTCTTTAAAAAAAATGTCCTTGCCATCAAGCACACCACTATTTAGTTGAGTGGTTAACGACAAACTTAAAAAAACTGGTAATATCTAGTAACAGAGTAGATAAAGAAACTGTGGTCTATCCATACAATGAAATATTATTCAGCAATAAAAAGAACTGAAGTACTGATACAGACTGTAATGTGGATGAACCTTGAAAACACTAGACTAAGTAAAAGAAACCAATCACAAGACAGGATTCCTTATCTACAGAATGTCCAGGATAAGCTACTGAGATAGAGATACAAAGTAGACTTGTGGTTGCTTAGGGGTGAGGAGAGGAATACAGGAATGACTGCTAACGGGTTTCTTTGGGGAATAATGAAAAAGTGCTAAAACTGACTGAGGTGATGGTTATAAATCTGAATATACCAAAAATTGCTAAACTATAGATTTTAAATGGGTGAATTAGATGGTATTTGGATTATATTTTGATAATGCTGTTATAAAACAAAATTAAAAGTTGACATGTAGGAAATAAAATCAAAATTCTTCAAATTAAAAAAAAAAAAGCCAGTAATAAATGTGAGCTAAATTAAAACTAAATTACCAAGCAGGTAATATGAGCTCAGATAGTCAAAGAAACTCTTTTTTGAAGGGGTTGGGGCAGTGACACCTGAAAATAAAATTGTAGACCTCCAAGGGTTTATAGACACAGGAGAACATGGCTGGCTCCCCTCACCAGGAAGTGCGGCCAGGTAATACTTCCTCCTTCCAAGTTAAGTCTTCAGAAGGAATTCAGGAATCAGGAAGGGCAGTCTAGTTCAATCATACACAGAGGTGAGTTTGAAAGAATTATTTTTTAAATAATCACTCTATTGGATTTTCATCTCCAGTCAAATGAAGTGTTTGAAAGGATGACAAAAGCCTTCATTTCACATCATGCCGTTGACCAGGAAGGACTCTCCCCTTCACCGGCAGCCTCCGAAGAGTCTAGAAAAGCATGAGCCCACTGGTGCAGCTCGTAGAGGACAGTGTATAGTGACTACTCAATCACAAAAGTGGCATGAGGGTCGTGATGCTACTTCAGCTCCCCTCAAGACAGAGCAAATACTGTCCTCCTCTCTCTGCCCACAAGCCTGCGGAAGGCCAACCCTCCACAGCACAATGAAAACAGTGAGCAGAGCTAATCTTCCATACGAACACGTATTTTGGAGCATGTGGTCAGAACTGTTTTCCTTAGTAAGTGAAGATACCAGTGCCGACGGTATTCATTTCTGTATAATATTTCCTCATGTCAGCAAGGGCTTCGTGAGGAAGCATTTTAAAATGGAAGAGCCAAATTTGTACTTCTTTGAGAACAGAAGAACTGCAAGTGAAGATGTTTGGCCCCTGTTTCCTTGAGGAATGGGAGACATATTTCTAATGGGTGGCAGTGTTCTGATTAAAGGCATGCAGCGTACGCAAATTAACGTGATTTTAATTTACTTGTGCTGTTTCTCTCTTAATGGTGCCATCAGATGATACAATCCACCCATTACCTAGGAATCAAACCATGTGGCTTAGATATTACCGAGAATTTGCTGAAAACTGCTGCTACTAGCCATGAGTAGCAACATCCTCTTGGAGACTGGCAGTAATCCCACAGCAAACATTTTACTTAGACTCAGTTCTCTCCCCTTCCCCCTCTTTACTTCCTCTTAACTCCCTTAGGGAGGGTTCTTTAATTGGGAAGGAAATGTCATAATACTGTATTTCCTTACCATTCATTTTCCTACATCTGGAAACCTAGTCCAGTCCTTCAACCCTAGTGACTGTCCCAAATAACCACTGGGTGGTTTAACTGCCTCACAGCAGCAAGAGACCTGCCTCGAGCAATCCAGTGACCCCAAAACTCCTATCAAATAGACTGGAGTTGATCCAAAATTGCCCATGCAAACAGAGTAGCAATCTGAAGCCATTAAGGATTTCTTGGAAGAATAAAATGTTTACAGAAAGAAAACCTCTACATGGCAGAAAGATACTTTAAATACAAGGTATTTTTCTTTTTTAAGAATCATATGATTTTTGGTACCCTTCATTTGTAGTATAAATAGGATATCCTGTTCAGATAACTTAATATCAGAATCATATAGGGAAACCCAAATACAATAGGACACGCAGTGGTTAAAGGAGCCTACTTCAAAGTCACACAGATTTGGGTTTACTATCTACGGGACATTGAGCAAGTTACTTAAAGTCTATGAGCTTCAGCCGTAGACTGGAAATGGTAATACCTCACTCGCAGGACAGCTGTAAGGATTAAATGAAATAAGCAAACAAAGCAGTTAGCGCAGTAAGTGTTCAGTTGTGGTGGCAGGAATTAGTACTACTATCGTCACCGTTCAAGATTCCTTTTGTTTGTTCTCATTCAAAAACCCTCCTGGGTCTTCTAGGCCAGGACTATTCAGTACACCTGAGAATAATCCAGAATGTAAATCCAATTTAACCCTAAGAATACCATTTAATTCAGCTAACCTTTTTTTTTAAGAAGATTTTCCTGATAAAGGAAGAGATGATATTAATTTACATTTTGTGTAAGCTCCTTGCGTCCTCATAGACGAGTACAAAACAGCCCACCAAGGGGTTGTTCTAAGCAACTGAGGTCTCTCACTTTCAGCATGCCTGCCCTGTTATCTCTTCATCCATCAGCCCCATAGTCTCCCCACCGATTCCAACAGCTTCCATTATAAATTAATCATCTTGACAAATATTTACTCAAATCTTCTACATGCTGGCACTGTGTTAAGGACTCGACACAAAGGGGAAGTTATTTCATATTTTAGGGTTCCTGCTTTCTAATTATACTGCAGTTAGCTCCCTCACCCACCCTCCCCCCCCCCCACACACATACACATGCACACATACTTCAGTTCATCCCCAAATAAGTCTCAGGAAAGGCAAATATTCAAACAGGAGTTAATAACTAAGGAAGAATCCCTTACCTCCTACTTTTCTGTAAGTAACAGTCAGTAGTCAAGATGACTAACACAAGTATTACCACACTGAATTTTAACTTGTTTAATTTTCTGCCCCAACAGTGTAACTTCTAGGAGACAGGGACTAGGTCTCTCTCGATCCCTGCCAGCACGGAGCTTTACTGCCTGGTATACGAGTGCTCATTAAGTTTTTAATTATCTGAATTAAACTGGATTGGTCCAACCTGTTCAAAGCATTTATTCCTTTGCTTTAACATCAAAAAACAACAACAACAACAACAAAAAAAAAAAAACAAAAAAAACACCTACTTTTTCTTTTGACTCTCTCTGTTGAGCAAATATGTCTCTGACATCAGGAATCTGGTACTGTTTGTTTTTTTTCCTCAACGTCTGGGAGACTGTCTCTACTCGTTTCTGAACAGCAGCTGCTTGGGTCCGGGTCAGTGTTGACAAAAACACCATGCTTTCTTGGGAATCTCCAGCAGACTCTCCGAAGAGATTGGACAAACCAGCCTCCTTAAGCCACTCTTCTTCCAGTTCTCCCTCTAAAGGCAGTAGAGGAAAATGGGGTTTAAAAATCACAAGATATGAAAACTTTCACATTTTTTAAGCTTTCCAAACATGCTTGCTGACATTCTTCTACTGAAGTGGAAATGCAGTGCTAAGAATCATTATCTGAAACTTGGACAATAGCCATCAACTCCAGCCACAAAGATATCAAATTTTAGATCCATTTCGTGTATACTCAATTAAAAGTTTTAAATGACTTCACATGTGATTAACCTCTATAACATCCCTGCAGATTAAGTAGGGCAAGAGAGTACTGCTCCCTTTCTAGAGATGAGCAAGCAATGAAAAGATAACTTACTTCTATCAAGTTACAGAAGGAAGTCAATGCTGGAGATATCCATTAAAGCCCTGTTTCTTGGCTTAAATTCAGCACTGCCCTAGAGTCCAACAGTAATTGATGGAAAGGCCTGTTTTTTCTGTTCACTGTAGCTGACATGGACTATTGCAAAGAAGTAAAGAGCCTCTAGACATCAGGAACTAATCAATTTCAAATTAAGTTTTTAATGCCCATAGTAAGCACATCAGATTCACATTTTTTACAAATTAAAAAAGAAAAGCACACTATTTTAAACCAAAAAATATAGCTTATTATAGGAAACTAATTACATAATAATTCAAAACACTGAAAGCAGAAAGTAAACAGTAAAGCAAATATTGTATAAGATCTATGAAAATTACAGAAAAACAGAAAGATAACAAGAATAGATTCCCTCCAAGCACTAAGTTTATAGAGGAAAGTGAAACACCGATGACCTGAGACCTCAAAAACCTTCATCTACACACCACTTCTCCACGTTGATAGCCACGTGACTTTGGACAAGTCACTCAGCCTCAAGCCTACTCTGTTCTCCCATCTGCAACATAAAGAGTAACTGTCCTGGCTGCCGTGTAACCTTGAACAAGAGAACGTTCCATGGGAAGAGCTTTGCGGAGCTCTATTACAGCCTGTGTATCCTTCCACATTGTATAAACTCCTTGAGGGCAGAAGTCTAGTATATCCTCAGTTTTAAGAAACATGAGGTAGTGCCAGGCATTCTGCACATTGGGTAATAAAAGCTGTTTATGGACAATAAAAAGCCAGCATTATGAATACGATTAAGGTAGAATGCCGTATACATGTATGAAAACAACCTGCCGGGGCGGGGGGAGAAAAAAAGCAGATATGGACATGCTAGGTAAAGAAAACAAGATCTAAATACAGAGTCACTTGACCCATTAAAAAGTAGAGGTAAAACTCAAACCATTTAAAGTCAAACAAAAGGCATGGGCCTTCTTTATAATCACATTATGAACAACAATCTATAAATTCATTTTATTCTTGGAAAATTACGAAATAGATAATGACACATGGTTATGTATCAGACCTGAATGCTATTTTCTGGGGAATATTTTCTCCTTATCCAGCAGATCCAGCTACACTGCTTCCATCCTAAAACTCTGAGACAGAGCATTTGGGCCATGCACTGATTATCACAAGTAAGCTCAACTTTACTGGAAAATTAGAAAGACTGAGAGTAAAATAAAGAAGAACCCAAACAAAAGAATGATTTGACTATAATTTTATAAATCTGAGAGACATTAAATTATCTTGATAAAGTCCCAAAAGTTCATTTTCGCTTTTGTGTCAGAGACAACCCATGGAATGGGAGAAGATATTTGTAAATGATGCTACAGACAAAGGGCTAATACCCAAGATCTATACAGAACTCCTCAAACTCACACCCAAAAAACACATAATCACATCAAAAAATGGGCAGAAGACATGAGCAGACACTTCTCCAAAGAAGACATGCAAATGGCTATCAGACACATGAAAAAATGTTCATCATCACTAACTACCAGGGAGATTCAAATCAAAACCACATAGAGATACCACCTTACACCAGTTAGAATGGCCAAAATTAATAAGACAAGAAACAACAAGTGTTGGAGAGGATGTGGAGAAAGGGGAACCCTCGTACACTGTTGGTGGGATTGCAAGTTGGTGCAGCCACTTTGGAAAACAGTGTGGAGATTCCTTAAGAAATTCAAAATAGAGCTACCCTATGACCCTGCTATTGTACTACTGGGTATTTACCTCAAACATACAGATGCAGTGAAAAGAAAGGCCATATGTACCCCAATGTTCATAGCAGCAATGGCCACAACTGCCAAACTGTGGAAAGAGCCAAGATGCCCTTCAACAGACAATGGATAGAAAAGATATGGTTCATATATACAAGGGAATATTACGCCTCCATCAGAAAAGATGAATACCCAACTTTTGTATCAACATGGACGGGTCTGGAGGAGATTATGCTGAGTGAAATAAATCAAGCAGAGAAAGTCAATTACCATATGGTTTCACTTATTTGTGGAGCATAAGGAATAACATGGAGGACATTAGGAGAAGGAAAGGAAAAGTGAATTGGGGGAAATCAGAGGGGGAGATGAACCATGAGAGATGGTGGACTCTGAGAAACAAACTGAGGGTTTTGGAAGGGAGGGAGGTGGGGAGATGGGTGACCATGGTGGTGGGTATTAAGGAGGGCACGGATTGCACAGAGCACTGGGTGTGCTGCATAATCAATAAATCTTGGAACACTGAAAAAATGAAACAAAATTGAGGGAAAAAAAAGAAACATTAAATTAAGAAACATCTCCAATTTTTCTTTTTAAAGTATTATTGGTATTTTTTTCAAAGAAATGTCACAGCAAGGGGAAAAAAATCTATGTATGTAGATTCTCTTTAACAGCCCAGTGCTAGGTCATTTACATAAGAAGTCCTCTGCTGAAAAGGAGATCAGTATTAGTGGGTTAATAGGCACTGATCTTTTTTTTTTGGCATGCTGATCAACTGACACCCCAAAAACATACTTACAAACATATGGGTGGCACAAGGCAGAGAAAGAAAGATAAAATGGGATGCCTAGTTGGCTCAGTCAGTAGAGCAGGCAACCCTTGATCTCAGGGTCATGAGTTCAAGCCCCATGCCGAGCATGGAGCCTACTTAAAATAAAAATTTAAAAAAAAAAAATTTTTTTTTAAAGAAAGCTAATATAATAGATGCCAGAATTGGTCATCAAAAATTTAGAGACTGCTTGAATTTACGAGATTGAAAAAAAAGTATAAATTTTAAGGGGAAAAAATGTTTTATATGTTTCTTCTATAATACCAAATATAGTAATAGAGATTGTAGGAAATATAGCTAGAAAGAAACCGGAGACAAATTATGGACCAAACAAAAGAAAAAAGCAAATATGGAGGCTGAAAATGCTAATGGCATACACTGTCCAAATCTATACCCACAGGCTAGTTGGCTAAACCTGCAGCATTATATCCAGTCAGGGGTACAAAATGACCAGGGCTGAGAAAGGTCCAAAAACCACCAGAGGGACTGGTAGGCAAATCTTCTTTTCCTTCTGGAAGGACATGGTGAGGAACACGATAAGCATCTTCAAACATTTGAAAGGTTATCCCATAAAAACAGAACAGGCTTGTTCTGATCTTCCAAAAGCCAAAATGTCCAAGGTAGAGGATGACAGATTGTGAATCAATGAGATAAAGTACATCAAGACAACTCAAGCTGACTGACCAACGGAAAAACAGCATCACTGCAAAGTAGTGAGCTTTCCAGTCACATTTATACTCACTAGAGAACAATCGACCTTGTGGCTACAATACCACAGAATGAAGGTTAGATCACTTCAAAGACCAAGTCGAATCCTAGGGGGTCTATGAAACGGTAAGTCTAGCCAACAAGATTCTAGCCATCTCTCAGACCAAGTGAATTTATTTACTCATGCTACATAAACGTGGCTGCTGCATCCATAGATCTGTTGCAAACAAGTAATTTTCAAGCTGAAACAACTAGCATTATCTTATTTTGGTTGTCCTTTCTTTAATTTTTGTTGAGGCTGCCGTCCTCTTTATCCCCATGTATCAGCTCCCAGAAACATGCACACAAACAGAAGTTTTATTTAGTTATTACCATCAGGTTCTTTGACAACGACCACTTCTTGAGCTTGTCTGTTCTCACTTGATTTCTCGATATTTTCTATTTCCATCCAATAGGGCTCCATAGATAGTTCATCCAAAGAATCCTGAGAGCTTGATCTGTCAAATGGCGGTTTTTCGGGAACTTTGGTGATTTCCTGGTTCATGGTGTACTGACCATATTTGCGGCTATAAATTCAAAAGGAGACATGGTTCATTTTAATATATGAGGAAGTAGTACAAATTCTAAGACATCAGAGTACTGACTGAACAATTTGGAAACTCCATAAGTTCCCCTTAATAAAACCAAAGAGATATGTATTTTGAAGCTATTTACCTAGAGATACCAGTAATTATAATATACTTGCAGAATGAACAAAAATTTTCACTGGTCAAAAAAAAAAAAAAAAAAAAGCAGTGTGATAAACCATTTTTCCTTTCCATTTCATGTAAATTATTTTAAGATTTCTTTAAACCTATAACTGTTCTTAGAAAGCAACAGGTTAAATCTTGATTAGAGGCCATTAGTTAATTGAGTTTTTTTTAATACAGCATTTCATAGTTGTCATTTATGTCTACAACAAAACTCAGTGAGCCCTTATAGAACAAATATCTGCAATCAGTAAATGAAATACTATTTGAATTTCTTTTTATTTTTGGAACCAAAACATAAATAGGAGAATGTCACATTACATTTGCTGTTACATCCTACTATAGAAAGCAACTCTTAACCTTTATTTTAAAATGTGCCCATTGCTGATATGTATTTTAAAATATGGCAAAACGTTATCAGGAGAAAACATTTAAGGCAATTCTGAATAAATAGCGAGGAATTACCTCTTAAATACTGATCTCAAATACTATCTGTGAAGAAAAGGATAAACTGAGTAAGTGAAAGTATTTTTATGACTTGAAGTTAACTATATTTTTTATAAGTCATATCCCAAATACTAAAGTGAATTAAAAGATGCTTATAATAAATAAGCTTATATGTGTGTGTGTGTGTGTGTGTGTGTGTGTATACAGAATCCCATTTACAATAGAAATACTAAATTTTTATTCTAATCTTTTTTTATATTGAGATGGGGAGCCTATTTAAAAAAAGAAAATTTTGAGTATGGCACTTCCTCTTTGTATTCAATTTTTTTAAAAGATTTTATTTATTTATTTGACAGACGGAGATCACAAGTAGGCAGAGAAGCAGGCAGAGAGAGAGGAGGAAGGAGGCTCCCTGCTGAGCACAGAGCCTGATGTGGGGCTCGATCCCAGGACCCTGGGATCATAACCTGAGCGAGCCGAAGACAGAGGCTTTAATCCACTGAGTCACACAGGCACACCCCCCCCCCTTTTTTTTTTTAATATAATTTGAAAGGCATCTGGGTGGCTCAGTTAGTTAAGCATCTGCCTTCAGTTCAGGTCATGATCCCAGGGTCCTGAGACTAAGGCCCATATTGGGCTTCCCTGCTCACCAGGGAAGTCTCTTCCCTCTCTCTCTGCCCTCCCTGCTCATGTTCTCTCCCTCTCAGATATATAAATATTTTTTTAAAAGAAAATATAATTTGAGTGGGGACAATAATCAGGGAACTAGAGTTTTGTTATTCTAATTTCAAATTGCTCTTTTATTTCCCAGGAGGATGTTAGGAAATAACACTCTGCTACAGTGGTTTTCCTACTACACATATGAAAATAAAAAATACCATAAAACAACATTCTTTAATACTATGTGAACATTTTCCACATTTAAACTGGCCTTTCCCATAATTATTTAAAACAGAAGGATTTAATACTACATAACGGAGAGGGTCACTAAACTTTGGTCATTTCTACCTATTTAATTCCAACTGGTTTCTTAGAAAAAGTCAAAACACTTGCTTGTTGCTACAAATAAATACAATATAACTGACTACTGAACTGTAATAAGCTAACAGGCCAGTTTTGTTCCTTTGAAGATGGTTCTCTCTGCCTTACTTATGGACTTTAATAATGCAAGTTGCATGAGTGAACAATCGCTCTATCTCCCCAGTAGCAAGTCTGGGGTGGTGATGGGTTGGCGTAAGGTGTAGGGCCAGCAGGAGGAAGTCTAAACACATTAGTGTGTTTCTCTTTCCTTCAGTCTCCATTGTCCATTGTTTGCCTCCCCCATCCCTTAATTCAAGGGACACTTCCTCCCTCCCTACCCAAACCGTCCTGTTTACATCCCTGTATCCCATCCTGGTCCTTTGGCCTTGCCCCACTGGCCACCCCTTCAGCGTTGTCATTTTAGTGACTTAAATTAGACTCTTAATTTATCAGACTTAATAAATTAGACTCTTATATTTAGACTCTTAAATTAAAATGTGAATGTGAAAGCTCTCTCTCTCTTAAAACAAAAACTTCAGGGGTGCCTGAGTGGCTCGGTGGGTTAAGCCTCTGCCTTCAGCTCAGGTCATGATCTCAGGGTCCTGGGATCGAGCCCCGCTTCGGGCTCTCTGCTCAGCAGTGAGCCTGCTTCCTCCTCTCTCTCTCTGCCTGCCTCTCTGCCTACTTGTGATCTCTGTCTGTCAAATAAATAAATAAAATCTTTAAAAAAAAAAAACTTAAAAAAAAGAACATAAATTTTATTTTTATTCCTGTGATCAGCAGCTCAACCTATCCACACATTCTATTTCTTAATCCTGCTTTACCAGGATCGTTCAACTAATTGACAGAATGTCTACCAGATTCATTTTTGGTTTATTTCGTGTCAAATATGTAGATGCCCCATCCTTGTTTTTGTCTTCTCTCCCATTATAAGACTGTGGTCGACCTAATTCCTATCCCCTGCAACCCTTAATTCCGTGGGAGACCACAATAAATACTGTGGAATGTGTGAAGTGTAATGACCAATGCCAAATAATTTGGTTTATCTGTTCACAGAAAAGAGGTGCAGTTGAACTAAAAGTACATTAAGCTTCTCACTTCTGAAGGAATGTGTTTATTCTGGCAAGAATTTTCCAGTAAATTTCCATTAAGATAGCATGTGCAGAAAAACGCAAGGGCATTGAGCAACAACATTGTTACGTAAATATACCTTCTATATCAAGCCCTGCTTTCAAAACAGGCAGAAAGCAAAAACCTAATCGCCTAGTGCTAATGAATAGACTCAATATTTTTACTTTAATAAGATTCAAAGCTGAATAGGTTTTTTATAATAACCTGATGATACAGAGTCATGGAATGGAGGATTTTTTTTTTTTTCTTTTTTGGATCATTGGTAAATGTTGGAAGAAAATGTTTTCTTTTTTAAACATTAGCGTATGGGGAGGAGAGAGGAAGCAAGTATTCAGTGGTAGACTGCCCTCCTTAGCGTGCCATAGATGTTACATTTTCTCTAAAAATGTAGCTGAACGTTTTAAAATTACAGTTTACATCAATAAACTGGTTGTGTCACTTCTTTTCTTAGAATGTACTCTACTTTTGAACTCCAGACAGGCAATGGCTAAAAGTGTGGCCCTTCTTAAAACTGTCCTGATTCGAAGCCGTTAACTCATTCCTTTCTTCTGTTTCTAGGACTACGTTATCTGATACCACATTCATTCTCCAAACTGGGTTCAAGATCATAAAGTAACATCTGCTAGACATAATGAAGTGCAGAGCAGAAATATTTTTACATTTCCAAAAGACCCAAGCCAACACGTGGTGCTGAAATCAAAGAAACATGCAGTTTGTACCACAGGCAACTACCGATTACCCTCTCCTGACTTACTGGCAAACAACTGTCCTATGTTAGTCTTCCTTACTTGCCCTCCAGAATCCCACGTGCCAATCATCCTAAGGCCACTCTTCAGAGACTCTCACATTTCTCACCTTTGACAGCTCTAACCATAGAACTAGACACCGTCATCTGAAAGAAGTGACTTCCGGCAGGCTGCAGACTCGTGCCCAGTGCTGCGAGCATTCCCGCAAGTCACAGTATTTTTGCCATGTCTTTTTTTCCTGGGTACTAACATTATTAGCTAACTGACACTTACGGGCCTGCGCGGAACGAATGTCCCTTCTTTTTCCTCTTGCTCGCATGTTCTTATTATACTGGGTTTATAAAAAGTGGGGTTTTGTTCTATTTTCCTGAGGTATATTTTTCTGTGATTTTTTTTTTCCCCCGGTCAGTGAATTTCAAACATAGCGCTACTATTCCTGCCTCTTTTTTATTTTGTCATAGAGAATGTTAAATTGGTCTGACGCAGTTTGTTCTTTTCGGGGAGGTAGACAGTGCCATCCATTAGACTGTGGTCTGCTGGAAAAAAAACCAAGCTGATTGATGATTAATCCTAGGACCAATGCAGGGAAATGACATGCAGTTCTATGGGGCTGGGAATCTTAAGTACCAATGACTCAGGTTCTACTTAACTATCTCCATGATTTTGGAAAATCATGTGGCTTCTCTAACCCAGACTTTTCCTACCCATAGAATGGGAAGAACACCAGTAGCCTTGACTGCTGTGTGTCGTGAGTTACCGAGTGAGAATTCCTCCCGAAATGCCTCCTGGGTAACCATGAAGAGGGTTTGCAACCTAGTACCACTGTTAACATGTAAAACCGCTAACTATAAATAACCACCCCTACCATAGTTTAATAAGGTCATCTTTGCCCTCTTCTAAGGTTCAGAAAAATTACTTAACCTTTAGGACAGACATTCTTGAACAGTCCTGGTCTCAGGACTCTTTTATACACTTAAAAATTTTTGAGGACCTCCAAGGAGCTTTTGTTTTTATAGGTTATGTCTAATGAGGTGTACACTATTAGCTATTAAAGTTGGAAAGAATAAGCAAAATACTAATTCATTTAATGAGAATAATCAACATCTTAACATAAATAATTTTTGCGAGGTGGGGGAAGAAACCTATTTTCCATACCAAAAAAAAAAAAAAAAAAAGTAGTGAGATGAGTGGCATTGTTTTATATTTTTTAAAACTGTCTTTAATGTCAGGCTTAATAGAAGACATCTGGATTCTCACATCTGCTCCTGCATTCAATCTTTTGTGATACTGCGCATCATGTAGTCTCTGGGAAACTCCACTGTGTTCTCACGAGAGAATGAGATTGAAAAAGGCCAATAAAGTCTTTGTGTTATTATGAAAGGAGTTCTGATCTCCTAGACCCCTAAAAGGGTCTTGAAACCCCCAGGTGTTCCAGGACCACACTTTGAAAACCACCGTTCTAGGATTTCTCAA